CTGTATATCAACTTTGAACTAATTCCAATCAAATTTAGATTTTTTTTTAATGTTGCTCAAAATTGAAGCCAGTATAGCCTGTGGTTAAGGTTTAGACCAAATTTTCTCAAGAAATGACTTGGAGAAAATTCTTCGGCTGCGCTTACACTACTCAGTTGAAAAACAGACTTTTGTCAGAGATAGAGCTTTGGTTTATACTAGATACTTCTGTAAATTCTAAAGAAAACGCAGCTGCTGGATTAGTGTAAACACCTAAAACCAGTGATAGCAAAAACTCTCCTCATTCAGTGAGTACTGGAGTAGTATAAACGCAGCCTTTATTTTTATAATTTTTTGTAAATCATATATACATGTTTTTATGCTGTGTATCAATTTTGAGGTGATTTTTTGGATTTTTTATAAATTTTGAAGTTGCCTCAAATATGTGTAGTGGTAGCTCACATGTAGCATGCTTCATAGGAAACCCTCAGCTTTAGTGTTTCTCACGTTTAAATGTTTTATAACTTCTTTGTTACATTAGATATATGAACCTGTTATCAAGTGCTTCATGACGTTAATAGACCGGTTCATTCGTCGTGGTCATGATGTGAATCCATTGATTGATAAAGGACTCATCCATGAACTAACAAAGAGACTAGCGGCAGTCAGTGACTCGTCCTCATCATCTCCACAATCCGTTTCAATCATCGTTAACTTACTATCAACACTCATCAGAGGATCATCAAGCACAGCTAATGTTAGTGAATCAGTTATTAATATTATTATTTTTACTATTATTATAAGTGTTATTACTTAATTATTCTTATTGTTGTTATTATTATTATTATTATTATTATTATTATTATTATTATTATTATTAATTATTATTAAAAACAAAAACAATAACAACAACAATAATAATAAGAGGAGGGGAAGAAAGAGGGAGAGAAGAGAAGAAAGGACAGAAGGGAAAAGAAGAAAATAAATAAATAAGACACAACTAAAGGAACAAAATAAGCATAAAAATAACAATTATTATTATTATAAAAAAGAAAAAATTATTGTTATTATTTTTGTGTTTAAATAGGCTGTACTAAGATCTAATTTACCTGACAGTATCAAGCAAGCAGTCAAAGGAGATGAAAGGTACCATGATACATTGTACATGTAATTCAATGTACATGTACAATTGTACATAAATGTGCATGCATGTACATGCACTATTGATTATGCTTCACAGACCTTATACAGTCATGAAATGCTGTTGATTTGTAACAGTTGTACATGATGTCTATGTATAGGTATATATAGTAAGGAAGTACATGTAAGGAACATATCCAGTCTGTTAGTGGGTAACTAGAGTAGTGTACTTTTAATTCTCTTGGTTGAACTCATTGCTAAATTGTTGTAATTATAGATACATGTACAGTGATTGATGAAACAGATCCTGTCTATTAGCCAACTATTAATTATTATGTATTATATTTTCTAGATGTGTACTTGATGTCCTGCGTCTTATTGAGCTACTGCTAATATTATTGTTTGAAGGAAGGAAAGCTCTTCCAAAGAACCTCCAGCCATTAGCATCAAGGCAGATAGAGAGCTTCCCTGGAGATGCTTCCAACAGGCATGTCATTGAAGCCATTCGTGCTGGAAACAATGAAGAATTTTTTGAAGCTATGGAGAGTGGTATGTGTATTACAGTGATAAGCATATGCCCTATTGCCCTTTAAAATTCTATGATTAACAATGCAATGATATTAATGATTTAGGTATTGATATTAATCATATGGATGATGTTGGTCAAACTCTATTAAATTGGGCTTCAGCATTTGGTACACTTGAAATGGTAAGAATAACTCACTGACTTATAGTGTTGAATGTTGTTGTTGTAATACTGTACATGTAGGTTGAATATTTGCTGGAGAATGGTGCTGATGTTAATCGTGGCTTAAAGTCATCATCCCTACATTATGCTGCTTGTTTCTGTCGTCCTAGCATTGCTAAGGTACGGTGTATGGTCATTCTCACTGTTAGATCTAGAGGGAGTTCAGTCTCTCATTACTCATTAGGTCTCCTGAAAGCTTTCATTTTTCTCTCATATTTAGCCTATACATGTACATGTACATGTAGCTTAAGTCCCCCATTGTTAGGTATATATATTCTAGATTAGGCCTGAGGATTTTATTCCCAGAATAAAAAAAGAATAATAGGTGGTCTAAAGAATAAAGAATAATTCTGGAATAATAGGGCAAAATTTGTAAAATTGTGCAGTAGGTGTGGCTGAATGCTTAATAAATCTTGTCTAATACCTTCAATAATACCCATGAGTGTGCTTTACAAGACTCAATTGAGGTATCCTTATGATGTTACAGTATAATGAGCATTAAATGAGACAAATTTTATATAGTTATTTTGTTTATTTTTATAATACTTGGGAATAATAATAGGAATAATAGGCAAATATATTGGGAATAAGGGAATAGAATAATGGGGACATTTTTGGGAATAATATCCTCAGCCCTATTCTAGATCTAACACTGGTCAGTGTTATTATTAAGTAGCTGACTAATACATGTACATGTACAGTTATTATACGAATAATTAACTCTATGCATGATCACTGCATGTACTTGTGTTATTTCATCACAGAGGCTGTTACAGTTTGGGGCAGATACTGAGCTGAGAGATGAAGATGGTCACACTCCATTAGATAAAGCACAGGAGAGAGGTGACGAGTGGTATCAGCAATGCTTAGAAATATTTGACAACTCAGGTAGTGTCCTGATAACTATGTATGCAATATTATACATGTGCATAAGATTATAATTATATTATTTATTTATTTATTTTTTATTTCATAGACAATGTTCTTCGTGACGACGATGATGATGATGATAGTGATTCATTTGACTCTGACAGTGATGCTGAGAGTAAAATAAAAGACATGATATCAAGTACCGCTGCTACTGGGACTGGCCCTGCCTCTAGTGGGGGGAATAAAGTCATTTCAGGTGAGTACAAACCTTATTACTGAGTACCAGGGGCCCCTCTGATTGTACATGTACATGTATGTACATGTACTTCAATGCTTGGGTCGGCCTTGAATACATGTACATGTACATATTTGGAGAAATTAAAATATATTTAGACTACATGTATTTATTAAAATATATGTTTTTTATTGTTTTTACATAGATTTAACATTAATTAATAAAATTTTATTATTTTATTTCCTGGTGGTGCTAGGTAATATAATAGAGCCTAGTGGGCAGACAACAGCAGCAGCTAATAATGAAGAGAATAAGAACAATGGTAAAGAGGATGCTAGCAGTGATAAGGTTGATCCTGAGTTAATTCCTGTTTATATGAAGTTACTGTTACCATTACTTGTGGAAGTGTTTCATTCTAGTTTATCTCAGACATTGAGGTTAGTGTGGATTGTGTGATAGATGTATGTTCATTAGTGGGAATAAATTAATTATTAGAAGATATCATGTTGTTCATATGAATTGCCTATTGCTACCTGGCTTAATTTCATTAATGCTCTAATACTTTAATTTTGTGGTGCTGTATTTATTTTTAATTTGGCAATTATATGTACATGTACATTACTGTAAACATGTGTGCATTAAAAATTGGTAGTTTTAATATTAGAAACCTCGAATTGCAATCACCAAAGTACATGTAATAATACTCTGCCAAATTAAAGTGTCATCAGTAGTTCCGTAATAAAAATAATTTTGTGTATTATTAGATACTGACAGAGGTAGTGTCTTGTCAGTTATTGTTATGCTCTGGCTTTGTTTGTGTACACTGAACTGCCTGTACCTCCTGATGTTGTGACCCCAATGCTTTTGTACCAGTACTGTAGTGTTTCATGTACAGTGTTTATTTGATCCTTCATGTTTATGTGCATTGTATTTTTGGAAAAATTAAGTTTGTAGTTGTTTCACAAGGATGTTATTACATTTAAGAATGCTTGAAAAACATCCAACAAAGCCCATCTTGTTATAACTTATCGTGCAAATTAAAAACAGACAACACATACTTTATCAGAATTGATCTGATCTTTATTTTTAGGAAAGAGTGTCTTAGACTTGTTTGTAAAATGTTTCCTTTTGTATCTAAAGAAGTATTGCAAGATATCTGCTCGGATAGCGAATCACAACGATCATTTCCTGGACAAATAACTGAAGTATTAACATCAACATTAGAGATTGAGGTACATTATGAAGCACATACATGTATGTACATGTATGTACATGTACATGTACATACATGTACATGTACATTTATATGTGTAGTACATGTACATGTACAGCATTGCAGGGTAGCGTTGTTAATGATTATTAATGCTTCATGTGTATCCAGTATTATCATTTCACCTCTGAATAATAGACACACAGTTTTGTCAATTACCGTATAGCTAGTTTATTTGTGTGGAATTGCATCTAATTTTGTACAGTCTCAAATCCACTAAAATTATACATGTACATTTACATTTACAGTAACCTAAATTTCATTAACAGCAATAGAAATTAAGAAAAATTTTGTAAACCACATAAATTAATTTTAGCAAAAAAATTAAACATTGATGATTTGAGATCCCGAAATACATGTAAACCAGATACATGTACATGTACATGGTAATTGTTGGGTCCTTTATACGTCAATGTTCTTGTAGGATGATTTGGATGGCCAGTTGGCTGCTCTTACTATTCTTGATGAGTTGCTTGGTAAAGTACCGGACACTTTCCTTGAGCAGTTCTTGAGACTCGGTCTCCCTGTTCATGTATCAAACATTGCAGTACCTCCCAAAGAAGCTGAGGAACCTTCAACTGAAGAAACAGATAGTGGACCGCTATCTTTGAAAGTATGTTTTGTATTCTATTAATGAGGCATATGTAATCAGGGTTTCCCACAGTGCATGCTAAGTGAGCTGAAAAAGCATGAGCTTCATGAGCTGATAAGCACTACAAGTAAATGTGTACATGGCCTTTGGAGCAACTTTTTTAATTCACAAAAAATCAATTTTTGTTAGAATTAGCTTAAACTTGCTATACAACATAAGAACATGTACATGTATGTGTATCAGAAAAAATTAAATGGTGAATTCTCTTCTAGTCATTTTTGGTGAAATTTGGCTGGAGATGAATTTCACAAAATATCTGTGACTCGTAAATTTTTATTATAAATATCTGATCATAGGAGTCTGAAGTATTACAAGATGCTACTGAACTGACTCCATTAGTTCCTTACCAGTGGAAGGACTGGGTCTTCATACGCTCATCAGAATGTTTGTTTCTATGGAATGAGCACATTGTCCTTGAACTATCACGAGTGAGTAATGGCTGGTTTCGCTATCTCATGGACAAGAAAGTAGCTACCATGTACTCAAGTGGCAGCGTTGAAGGAAGCTCCTCTTCTCTTGGGGGGAAGTCTGATTTTATTGTTAAGATGCAGCTCTGCTGTTCACAGGTTCCCTCAGATGCTGTACTCTACCCAATCCTGTCCACTCCTTCTCCAGTGAAGCTAAAGATAGGCCACTGGAGCTTGAGTTGTGAGAAAGAAGGAGAAATAGTTATACACAATGCTGAGAGTTCACAAGTTAGTAACAAACTAATGATAATAATAACATATTGTATGATTGATGGAAAGAGAGGGAGGGATTTGATGCATAGTTATGATCTGTTTCATTAATACATGTAGTATGATTTGTTTATTAGCTGTAGTGATTTTTATTAAGCAGTGTAGGTTGTTTTTCCGTCTGTATTATTTTTAATTTTTTTATTAGGCTACTTATTTAAGAGACGCATCAAGTGATGTTTGTGTTTTGTTTGAGAGTAATCGTCAGAGGAAGATCCCATTAACTCCAAACACACCATTAGGTAAGGAGGACCACAAAGCATGCTTCATGTGATGGCAAGCACTACAAATCCAATTTCAAGTAGCCAACAATAATTATGTACATGCATGGATGTACATGTATTTCATCAGAAAATATACGTGTAGTAAAAATGGAGAAATAATTTAATTTGAATTGTATTACAGGAGGACAATTTCATTTTGCATGGAACGATAAAAAAGGAATGAAATATAAAACTAAAGCTGATGTTACCAAAGAACAGGTACTGTAGTAACTGTACATTAGTGATACCAAGAGTAGATAATTATCTACTCTTGATGATAGAGTGAGGGTGCCTGCACAATTCACATGTGTATATGTACACACACAAGTACAAATGTACATGCATAATAAATGCTCTAATCTTTATGTGTACAGAATAAAGATTGCTCTAACTAAACAAATCATGCTGCTACTATTTTTGTTATTATTATAATTTTATGTGTACTATAGATATCTAGTTTAGCCTGGAAGATACAACAGAAATATTTTACATCAAATAGTGAGGGGACAAGAAAAGTAGCATTTGAGCTTCAGTTGATATTAAAGAATATTGAAGACACTTGTCTTGCTCACGAATCTGATGTTGTAAGTATACATGTACATGTACATGTACAATGTACAATGTATCTAGTCAGTGTTACATGTAATTTATAAAGAGGCCAGCTTTATGTTTAGTTATTAAATTAAATAAATGAATGACTGCTTTTGATTTCATTCATTCGATTCTTGACAAACATTCTTGTACATGAGTCCATTATGTAAATTTTGTCATTTCACTAAAATTAAACTATGATAGCCAAATCCCAAATTATTTATGATTATTTACTGTTTTTGTTTGTCTTTCCTTTTAGTCATTGGATTCTGGTATGGGCTGGAAAGAAGAGCTTCAGTTTGGTCTTCAAGCTTTATCTGACTTACTAAAGGAGGAGAGCACTCTATCAGCTTTTGAGGTTCACAGCAGTAGCCTGGTACAGGTTTTATTGCATTGTATTTCTGGGCAGGTAATTTTTAAAATTCATTTATTTTGTAGTCATAGCTTTGTGTCATTTAATTTCTCTTTATTTCCAGTTTTCTGAAGAGCCTGTACCTGCTCAGAAAATTAATGAAAGGTTTAATCTTTTTAAGGAAGTGTTCTCTGATGCAGATAAGAACGCATGGTAATGCCCTTTCCATTGTAACTGTAGTACATCCTCTACATTAATTAGTAGTACATGTACATGTACGTATGTCTTGTACATGTACACGTACAGAGTTTTGGTCAAAATGGACCGGAGATATTCCTCTATTTTTATTACTTAGGGTCTTTGGTCCAATTTTTGAGAAGCTTTATAAAGATTGAAATGTCCAAACTTTTCCTGATGCATATACAGTCTAAATGTATTTACTCTTTTGAGCTTATTCTAATTGAATTTGGATTTTAATGAATTTTGAAAGTTATTCCAAAATTTGACAAAAACATCCTGTCCTATATAGTACATGTATACATACATGTATAGTCTTTGGCCAAATAGACTATAGTGTTTCTATTTGTTATCTTATCAACATACAGTGTAATCATTATTATTATTATTATGATTATTATTATTTATTGCATACTCTAGTTTAAGTGAAGAGTCCAATATATCCCCACCCTCAGTGAGTTTGGTTAAGAAGTTGATAGCAGTTCTTGAAGCTGTGGAGCGACTCCCTCTATTGTGCCATGATGCTCCAGGAACACCTCTTAACCTTCAGGTTAGGAATAGCCACTATTAATATAACATAAAAAGCTTTGAAGCCAAACTACAAATGTACCGTATTTTACCAATTAAACGCCCGGGCATTTATTTCTTAGCAGCAAAAAAATTTATTGAAAAAAATAAAAAGTGACCTTGCGCGAGAATTGAACCCCCAACTCTGGGCAAGTCAGGTGAGGCTCTAACTATTAAGCACTTTGGGGCTATCTAAACAGTAGGGGCATTATTTTTGGTAGAAATATGCGTATCTATAGCTAGAATATATTAATGACAGGCGTTTATTTGGACCAGGCGTTTATACGGTAAAATACAGTACATGTACATCATAGTCTTCTGTTGAAATAGGCTCAGAATTTCTACTAGCATACATGTATCTTTTGTAGCCATTTTGTGAAGACTATTTTGTCCAAAGTTATGAATGTTTTTTATAGCTTATAACTTGTTTAAGTCCCAAGTTATTTTTTCAGAGATTGTACAGGCACTGTGCATACACAATTGGAACTCCAATCAAACTTCATGTACAAAGCAGTGAAAGCACTAATAAACAGCCCTAAATTAATTACCATTACTGCATGCATGTCAGTATTTTTGTAATGGAAAAATCAAAATTTTGAGTATTATTTTTTTTGAAAGTTTCCCAATTTTAATTCTTCCCAATGAATGCGTGCAATCAATAACACACAATGCTCATTCACTCCGTTGCAGTTGATAAATTGACAGTTTTTGTTACGTTACTCGTGCACCTATCTTTATAATAATATCCTTTCAATAATAATATCGATGAAATCATTCAGCGTAACTCTCTCTGCACGGATAAACATATTATTCTTTCAGTATCTGTTTAGTTTGAAAAGTTGGAAAATGTTTTTACGGGGGAAATATGATTTCATCATTCTCATAAATGTTGTGTTTAGCTAGAAATACACTTGTACATGTAGATCAGGTCTTTTATGATCTAATTATGAATTCTGTCACCTATAAATGGTATCCTTCCCTTTGTTACTGTAATTGAAGTATTCTAATTTGTATTGCAATGCACTGTACATGTGTGTGTGTTTATTGATCATTATCATATACATGTACATTATACATGTACATGATACTGTGTCCATGTTCATGGGCCTTCATGATTAATACATAATTGTTGTGCCTTCGAATCATATTGAGACATTTGAGTAATGTTTATTTTTTGGTTGTTTAGAAATAAGGTCTGACTCATTCAAGTGTTCTTTGAATATTTAAACTTTAGTACCTTCTTTCAATAATTGCCATATTTATTGATCTCTGTGTACATACTAGTCTAAAATTAGTACTAAGAGCGATAATGCTTTATTTTATTGATTGTAAATTGACTTTTTGAAGACCTTAAACTTTGCTATAGCTATTCACATTTTTAATAATTGTATTGTTGTTACAGATTATTCAGCGTAAGCTACATTTCAAGCTAGAGAGAGCTCCTGATGAAGGAGATTTAAGGGATTTCTCTGGAAAAACGTTCAAAACTGAGCCACTTGTAACAATTAAAGGTTTAGAAAAATTTCTAAGTGGAAGAGTAAGTACATAAATAAGTATCAGTTTAATGAGTTTGTAATTTTGATAGTGCACGTATTTGTAAATGGTTTATAATTATAATCATTGTTATTTGCATTTGTTGTAGGCTGCGAAGCAGTGGTATGATTTTGAGAGGACGTCTTATCATTTTGTAAGTGTGTTGCAAAAAATGAAATCACCGTTAGTGTTTCAACATGTGTCTGACTTTGATGAGAATGGAATCTTTTACTGGATAGGATCCAATGCAAGGTACAGTCATGTACACATATCTACATGTACCCTATAGCCACAAAGTTTCGAGGCAATAAACTTTCGCGAATCAGGCCACAAGTCTTTTTTCGCGAATTAACTTTCGCGGTTCTTATTATAAAACACACGTGTTTATGGGCAATACGGATAATTTTACGGAATTAACTTTCGCGAATATGGAAAATCCGCGAAAACAACGAAAGTTGTACCCTCAAAATTAAGCGGCTATACGGTATATTGCACGTATCTATCTTTAATGTCTATTAGTGGGTTATAAGAATGAGATGGAGAAATTGAGGGGATTTTTTACCCATGCTAAAGAAATTAAATTTATCTAAAAATTATCGGAAAGGAAGAGAGAGAAATGATAAGAGAGAGATATATAATAATTTCAATAATAATTATAATTATTATTATTATTAATACAGGACGTGTGATTGGGTCAATCCAGCTGCTCATCATATAGTAGTAGTTAGTTCATCTGATGGAAGGATACTTCCTTATGGCAATCTTGACGACATACTTTGTAGAGATGATACTCCGGCCAACTGTCACACTAAAGATGATCGTAACAGCTGGTTTGCTGTAGACACTGGTGTCTGGTTCTTCCCTACCCATTACTCACTGAGGCACTCAAGGGGCTATGGCAAGTATGTATTGTGTATGTATAATACTAGTGCTGTGTGCATGTACATGTGATTCATATACTGTATAGCAGGAAATTTTGAAGGGGCTAAAATTTGGCAAATTGCTAAATTTTGGTAATTGGTAGGTTTTAATTTGGCAAATTTGTGGCCATATGCCATTGAGCATGCGTATAATGGCTCAAAATGGCGGATTTTTATTTAGGTGAATGGCTATCAAAATGCCAAATTTGCCAAATTTAATCCCCTCCAAAATTTCCCGCTATATACAGTACATGTTATTATATAAGTATGTGGCATATACATGTACATGTACAGTATGTGTATAGGAGATGTGGGCATTTGTATCCCTTCCTCTTACAGGCCTCCCTGAAAGTATAATGTCATTGGTATAAAATACAACATATAAGAGTGAAATGTGATCATTTTAAAAAATAAACTGACTATAAGGACACATAAACACGTTACTAACTACATGTATGTATTATGTACATGTAGTGTCTGGTGGTTTCTCTAGAAAAGTCCTGCTACTGCATGTAATTAAACCCTGACTGTGCGTTATTTTAATGTTTTTTGTTCATAGTCGGTCAGCATTGAGGAGTTGGGACTTTCAAGTATCAAAGGATGGGGTTACTTGGACTACAGTTTATTCTCATGTTAATGACAACTCACTAAATGAGCCAGGGTCAGTATCACTACCACTACTACACACTACCACTTCATTCTGTGGCTGATGCAGGCTCTCTTTACTATATCTCATTCTTTATTGTGTTTTTTTTAATTTCATTTTGCAATTTTATTTGCAGATCAACTGCCTCCTGGTCTTTGTCCCCACCCACTGATCCTGAGGGGTGGCGTCATTTAAGATTGATCCTCACTGGTCCTAATGCTAGTGGTCACACTCATTATCTCTCACTGTCTGGTCTAGAAGTGTATGGTGAAGTAAGAGGACTAGCTGATAATGAACTAGGTACGTGTACACACAATAGTGGTAATAACAATAATAATAATGATAATAACAATGATAATAATAACAGTAATAATAATGATGATAATGATAATAATAATAATAGTACTTCTATGCCTCTGTGTACATGTAGTTTATAGCTACAATATAATAATGATAATAATTGTATAAATAATTACAAGTTTACTTTCGTACTAATCACTACTATTTTATTGTATAGTATCCTACTACTGGATTCTGTTGTACTACATGTACATGTACATGTATACGTATACATGTATAATGTTCTTTTGAACCTTACCTTGTTTTACCACTATATGTTTATTGAGCTCATTGCACTATGTACTGCTGGCTTGTACTGTACATACATGTACATGTCATGAGTCCAGCTTATTTAATAAGTATATACAGTTGATTTAATGGGACCCTTTTAAGGTTAGGGTGGGAGGCCCTTTGTCCTCCTACTACATTGTACAAGTCATGCCTCCTCTAGAATCACTTCAAATATAACTACAATAAGCATCATTATAATAACCCTTTTTGTTCCTACTGGAACAGAATCTTTTATTATCATTATTACTATTATTACTGGTTTTATTGTACAAATCCAGGTTTACAGCTTATGTTGTACATGTAGGTAAAGCAGCTAAAGAGCAAGAGAGGCAGTTGTATCAAAAGAGACGCTTTGTGAAGGAGCACATAATGAAGAAGCTTCATATAGGAGCTAGAGTTGTACGTGGAGTTGATTGGAAGTGGAGGGATCAAGATGGAATACCACCTGTACCTGGAACTGTAATAGGAGAACTAAGAAATGGTAAGTATCATAATAATTACTAGTACGTGTAATGTGTAGATTTGTGTAAATGACAAATTGGATTAGGAAATTTTTGTATTTCTTATTAGTTTGTTTTATCCTGTTATGCTCTGAGCGTATGCTAGCTACGCCAGTGGTAGTAGTAGTAGTATTAATAATTAATGTATTTTTAGTGGCTTCTGTATGTGTATGCAGTGCACTGATGCCAAATGTTTCCTTCCTTTCTTATTATTATATACAGTAGTAAGAGGATGTGACTCATGTGTGTGCATTGTCAATTAACAATGAGTCCAATATTATTATTATTGAAATATAAGAATTGCAACGTCATATGTAGCAAGCATTTTAATAAAGTTGTGAACACAAATCAAGCACCTGTATGAATCGCATAATATTTTAAACTGATCTACAAATTTACGATGTAATGTTACTATTATTATAGGTTGGGTTGAGGTCCAGTGGGATCATGGTAGTGCTAATTCTTATAGAATGGGAGCTGAAGGGAAGTATGACTTGGAACTGACTGGAGAAGAGCCAGCCATTCCTCCTCCCCCAGAATCAGAGGAGACAACTAGCAATACCCCACCAGCTCCTGATAATGTCTCTGATGAGGTTAGTATGTACTATGTATTCATATTACATGTGACTATATTATACTTGTATATTGTATTGTAATTCATGCACCGTACGGTTGGTAATTTTCGAGGGTCCAATATTTTGCATTTTCTCCAAAATTTCCTTAGCAGCTAATATTTGTGGGTACAAATATTCGTGGCTGGCAGTTATTACATTTTTTTACTTGGATCTACAGCACTGGCTTCCAATACATGGCTTATAGTGGAATATGGAGTAATAGACAAAGACTCTGCCTCCTCCACTGGCTTGGAAATAGTAGTTAGAGCTCTGAATGGCCCATTAATTAGTTTTTTATGTGTGGGTGGTAGGGGTTAAATTTTGTGGATAAAAATGATTCGCGAAATTAACAAAAATTAATACCCCAAGAAAGGTACCAAACGTACGGTATTGTACATGTACTGTACATTACATGTGCACAATGCAGACATTTCCTTTAATGTTTACATTATAATGTTAATGTATTATGTTACGTACCATAGGATGATGATGATCCTGTACACCAGAAGACTTGGGATGATGACTGTATATTGAAGCAGTCTTTTTCAGCTCTTGTTTCTGCTTTTGATCCCCGCCCTGGTCAAACCAACGTACCTCAAATACAGGATTTTGTAATTCCACTTCCCGGTACTGATCTTAATTTATTATTGTAGCAGCAATTTCATTTATTATTATTTCAGGTAGTGTGAATCAAACAGTGGATGATAGCATAGACGCTAAATTTAAGAGGGTCAAGTTAGCCTTGTTTGTTAAGGTAAGACATGTTTATTTCTGCGTATACATTATCCTAGATATAATAGTCATTAGTATTATCTTTATTATCATAATTTGACCCTAGCAATGTAATCCTTCCCTACACAAATATACTTGCACTACCTATTATGGGCACTATGTGCATGCAGCCTTTGTTGGGCAATTTTTGGCATAACAGTATTATAACGTCATAGTGTTTGTTTGTGTGTGTAGTATCAAGGGCTTGAGCTGATAATGGAGGACTCCAGTAAGCCAATATGTCACTATGTACAGAGACTGCTCCAGCATTTGCCAAAAGGAGAGAGAAAGAGGAGAGTGTGGGACGAAACATTTACGTACGTGATTTTATAAAGTTATTATTAGTGGATGTACATGTACATGTGTGTGTAAATGTAGGTTGGTTTATCGTGACAGTTCTCATGTTATTTCCTCTGGACAATGGCTTGGTCCTGTTTCATATGTTGCATCAAGTCTTTTGTCTGGCGTCATTTCAAAAGAGGATGTTATTCTCTTCATTCGAAAGAATGGAAAGGTCTGTATATTTAGACCCACTTGTTTAGTAATCCATAGACTTGTGATCACAAACTGAATTAGTTTGTTTTTTTGATTTTATTGTGTTTCCTATAATCATACTTGATATCACAGCTATTTCTACATGTATGTAATAGGAAAGCTTTCTGAGGAAATGGAAACTGACCGAACCATCATCTGTCGCCAAAAAAAGTATTACATTCTCTGAGTTAACTGATATCTATAAGGTAGACTATTGATAATGTGTTCTTGTCGTTGTTCATGAAGATCACTATTATAGGAGTTGATTGAAACACCAAGAAGAGATGGTGCTATGATTGATATTGAACCAGCTGCCTCTGATCAAGAATCAACAGTCTATGATGTCATGTCACTCTTAAAGCTTTTTTATGACATGTCTGAAAATGGTTAGAAAAATGATAAATACATAAGTTATGCAATGATATCTCATATTATATAGACATGCTCAATATCCCTACTGAGATATTTCAAAGTAGAAAACTAGTAAATAAACTAGTCCAGCAAGTTCATGTGAGTCCTTTATATCACTCTACTTACCTTGTTCATTGTTTCACCGTTACTTGTGTATAGGACCCATTAAGCCTTGCTAGTGATTCTTTACCCGATTGGTGTTATAAATTAACAGGACACTATTCTTTCCTGTTTCCTTTTGAAACAAGAGAAATGTTCTTCCTAAGCACTGCGTTTGGCACCTCGAGGTAAGTTTGTTGTAATGCAGCACTAGTTGAAATAACAAAATCAGTAACCATTTTCCAGTTAGAATAGCAATCATTGAAACTTGATATTTTTTATTGACATCATTTCCTTTATGCTCTCTCTAGAGTATTGTTATTATATTCATTACTCACTCATTTCCTGTCCACCAAAAATGAATTTTTGTATGTTGGCTGTGTTTATTTTTAGAACTGTAATCTGGCTCCAAAAGTGTTGTGATGAAGTATTGGAGAGAATACGTGGTGGTGCTCTTAAGAAAGAAGAGCAGTATGAATATCATATAGGAAGGTTGAGACAAGATAGGGTCCACATTCCCAGAAAGGAGGATGATGTAAGCGTCATCTTATTAAAATGCCTGTGGTTACACGTATACTATACAAGTATTTGGTGTGTCACTATGCTCACTGAGCGGGCAGTAAGTGGAATGTGACATCACAATGTCCACTTCCTGAGTGCAGTCAAAACAGCTGTCAATATAGTGTACATAGCAAATGATTCATACACTGTAAGGTTAATTGTCTTGTTTGTCTTCCAGATCCTTTTGTGGGCCTCATCAGTATTGCATGCACATGCCGAGAGAAAATCTGTCCTTGAGGTTGAGTTTCTGAATGAGGAGGGAACTGGTTTGGGCCCTTCTCTTGAATTTTATGCACTCGTTTCTGCTGAGTTTCAGAAAAGCTCTCTTGGTATGTGGTTGACTAATGATCGATCAAGTCTACAACATAATGATATGTCTAGACAGGTAATGCTTTCCTTTTTCCAATGAATGTAGATGTTATTATTCCATTATTATTTTTGTGTAGGTTGACATTGGTTTAGGTGTCAAGCCTCCTGGATATTATGTACAAAGGTCCTGTGGTCTGTTCCCCGCCCCAGTTCCCAGTAGTAGTCCCGAGTTTGACAGGATATGCAAGCATTTTGAATTACTTGGACTGTTTCTGGCAAAATGCTTACAAGATGGTCGTAGGGTTGACATACCTCTATCCGAGTCGTTCCTTAAGCTGATGTGTTTCAAACAAGTCATTACAGAAGACCCTGGGACTCTTCCATCAATCACGAGACCCAGTGAGGAAGAGAGGAGAGATGATGACGTGACGCTCAATTCTTCTGACAATGCAATCAACAACAACCCAACCTCTTTCAGTAATGATACTAACACTATTACTGGGCAAGAAGCAACCGGAAAAGAGAAGATTATGATGGATGAAGAGAGGAGAAAGGAGAGTTCTGCTGCTAAGGATGCCAGCAAAGATGATGCAGCACTTATGAATGACAAAGTTCATAGTTCAAAAACAAGTGGGAATACCGTACCTTGGTTTACTGGAATATTAACTATGGGTGATCTTGTTACCATTGACCCTTACAGGGGTAAATTTCTTGTACAACTACAAGATTTGGTTCAACGTAAGATTGAATTATCTGAGATGGAGATGACACAATCGGTTGATGGCCTACTATTAGATGATGGTTCACAGCTCAGTGACTTAATGTATGTTACAATGGAATACCAACCATTCTCACTAATTGTTTGTTTTACTGTGTAGGCTGAACTTCACTTACGCACCATCATCATCGAGTTATGGTTATGAATGGTATGATTTAACTGATAATGGTTCAGCAACTGTGAGTTTAGTTGTCACCTTTGCCCTATGCTTGTCTCTCTCTTGTGTGCTATAGGAGCTTGATAATTCTAATGCTGAAGAGTATCTTGCCTTAACTAAAGATTTTGTTTTAGAATCAGGAATTAGAAAACAACTAGAATCATTTAAAAGTATTGCTATTTTCGAAGCTTTGTGCTAATTATAGTCATTTATTTTATAGCTGGTTTTGATCGTGTGTTTTCAATGAACAAGCTACAGATATTTTCTCCTTACGAGCTGAGACTGTTACTCTGTGGTGAACAGTCTCCCTCATGGACACGGGAAGACATATTAAAATACACTGTACCAAAATATGGATACAATAGTGACAGGTTTGCTATAAAGATTATTATCATTATTTTTATTATTATTCTAATAGTCATGGATACCAACGATTTGTTAATGTTCTTGTGGAATTAGACTCTGATGAAAGAAAAGTGAGTGATGTCATAAAAATTAGTATTTACGATATTTTTTTTGTCATAGGCTTTTGTACAGTTTATAACCGGCTGTTCTTCCCTTCCTCCTGGAGGTCTAGCTAATCTGCATCCTCGGCTAACTGTTGTTCGTAAAGACTCCAAGGATGACAACATGTTTCCGTCAGTTAACACTTGTGTCCATTATCTTAAATTACCCGAATATTCATCTGAGAGAATTTTGAAGACAAAATTAATGGAGGCCACTTTTGAGAAAGGCTTTCATCTAAATTAACTGTAATAAGTATAACTGATTAACTGTAAACAGGATAGAGTGGTCCTGCTTTATCATCAGTATTATTAACCACATCCTGTATATCATTACATTGTATAAATTTAACAATAAAAATAATGTTTCTTCCACACAGTGTTACATTATATTTATCAAAAATAATGATGCTAAAGTTTTATCAAGTCTTTGTATGTTTTGCTAAACTCTTTGCACACAGTTGTGCTGCTTTAGTAATCGCTCAAGATTGTCACGTTCCTCTTGTAGTTTTCTTATTTCCTTTTCAAGTGCTTCGTTGGACTCAAGGTATTCGTCGTACTCAATTCTCACGTGATGCATCTTCTCACGACGTTTGACACGACACTTCTCTGCTGCAACCTTGTTCTTCTCTCTCTTTTGAAGGACTTTGTCACGCTCGTCAGGATTAAGCATTTCAAGCTATACAATGTAGAAATTGTGTTTATAGTAAAAGCATCAATTGAAACTTGTTGCTAACATTACCTGTATTCTCCTTTTCTTAAGGGGAGCTATTTCACAGGGGTCAACGAATGTTTTGTTCCTCCTGCCTTGCCTGGGGTTTATGCTCCTTGGAGGTGGTTGGGGCATGTTTGGAGACTGTGCGTCGCAAACTGGTTGTCTTTCCTGACCAGCTATGACTGTGGTAGGCATGCTGCTACCAGACGTAAGCCCTCTTGCTGAAGACATGAGGACTGTGCTCTCAAGGCTGAGACTTTGAGAATATTCTGGAGTCGAGCAAGGAGAAGATACCTGTGAAATAAAGAAAATATTAGCTAGAGCTAGTCCTTTGCCAGTAGGGAGAGAGCTTACCGAATCAACTGCCGCGTGAGACTTGATAGGCTGATAGACTGCCCTTCCGACTATTGCTTGTCCCGGTGCCCAAATGGAAATATTAGGACTGACGCTCATTTCAAGATCACTGTACATTTCTGAGGTTTGGATCACAAATTCCTTTATTGTGAGATAACTGATCAACAGCTCTTCTTTATACTCTCAGCGCGAACTGCAGCGGCCCATTTTGACGTCACATGTTTCGGCTGCTAGCTATGACGTAAATGAACGCAACTCGTTGCTCTTACGTCATAACAAGAAGTTGTTGACGTCTCTAAAATTGTTATTCTAGTTCTAGTAGATGGCAGTTCGTGGCAGTTAGAGTAAAGTGAGCCTTAGAACTGCTGAAGGCAGTCAGCAGACTTGTGACTGGATTGATATAATTTAACATTGTTTGCATAAGTAGCTGTAAACACAAAATGGTGTGCACAACCTTTACCTACATAAATGCATCTGTTTGCATTTGTCTCCTAAGGCTAACCATGTTGTAAATGTAATTTTAATGCTGTGTATCGTGCAGTGTAGTTAGTTAGCTTAAACCTAGATCTCTGCATACTAGCTAGTTCTCTTTTAATTGCCTCCTGACTTTCGCCTCACCAGGCTCACCCTCTCATGCACAATCTATTGAATAATCCTCTAGAAATCTTCTAAGATTTGCAAATTGCAAACAAGTACTGTACATTACTCAAGCATATTGCTGTATGTGAAGTCAGTGATTAAATTAATTATAATTTATTGAGAGGCTGGGCCAGGGCGTGACCTTTGCACTGCATAATTAATTATAATTGGTGTAGATAGCTCTAGAAGTTTCCTCAATTTACAAGAGAGTTTCCTAAACTTTCCTCAGTTTACAGGGGACGCTAGTATCATCATCATGGCTAAGTGGGGTGAAGGGGATCCTAGGTGGATCGTCGAAGAACGTCCTGATGCTGCAAATGTCAACAATTGGCATTGGTAGGTTGTGTGTATAATTATTATTTTATATGCATTATTTATTATTATTTTATATGCATTATTTATTATTATCACAATTAGGTATTATTTATGAGGAAAATAATTACCGTAAAAATGAGATGTTTTAAACATGTAAAAATAAGAATTAAATAATAAAGGCAGTAATTCTACAGTACTTTCAAAAATGGATAATTTTGGCCAGTAGGAATTGTATAATAGGTTTTGGAATAAATACAGAATTGTGATTGGCCATTTGTTGCTCACAACATAGTATTCAAGGAGCCTATTTTAGTCCTGCGTGGTTGGCTAGGCCCCAGAAGGCAGGGTCTTCATCACTAAATTAGCAACTCACCGTTTTGGTAGATTTTCCTGTTTATTTCATATCAAAAACTAGTATTTATTGACAGTTTTATTGTTAACAAACAATCGTTGTACTTTCATTTTGAACTGTGATTATTTTTCCTGAGTTGTTTTTGAATTGCAATTATTATTATGAGTTAGAATTTTTTTTCCCACTATTTACAAACAAGATAGATTATAATGTACTTATGAAGCATCTCAAGCATTTTTCATGATTATTATGTACTTGACATGATTTTATTTTTGTTATGTCTTTTGTGTATTATAGTTACTGTATAAACACATTGCTACTAACTGCATCTTTTTGTATCACTAAAGGTCAAATTGATTATGTCAAATTGAATATTTATTTTTATGTGATTATTAGGACTGAAAAAGATGCTACAGCGTGGTCAATCGACAAACTGAAATCACTCTTGACATCAATTGAAATAAACAGTCCAGAATTAGGTGAGTCCTGTTAGTCATGATTTCATAGTACCAGTCTGGCTTATTTGGATTATTGATTTGTTTTTTCTTACTTTAGGATCATGGAAGTTATCCGACATTAAGCCTGAGGGTGAAGCATCAGCTAGGTACTACATTGACAATACCAGGGTTTCCCACAAAGCATGCTAAGTGAGCTAAAAAGCATGCTTCATGAGCTGACAAGCCTTATAATAGCATCAGGAGCAGCTTTAAAGATTCATAAAAGTCCAATTTGATTAGAATCAGCTCAAACTTTCTACACAACATAAGGACATGTATTTGTATCACAAAAAAAATTATTAAATTAGAGAATTTTTTCAGAGCCATTTTCACAAAAATTTAAAAATTTAATTGTGATAAGCAAATCAGCTCAAGCTTCTATAAAACATGAGACTATGTATATGTATCATAAGAATTTCATCCTTGCCATGTTCGATGAAATTTGACAAAAATATAAAATTTTTGATCAGTTTAAAAATCCAATGACAAGAAGCATAGCATTATGCAAAATCCTGTGGGGAAGCCCTGGACACTACAGTACTTTTTAATGTAACCTGTTATGCATAGCATAGTTGACATAGTAAAGAAAGTTAATAAATAAAAGGGAGGGTTTTTGGTTTCGACTGTACGTACATATGTGTGTTTATTTTTATAAATTTTTTGGAAACGGATAAATTTAGTATGTTTTTTAGACCCAGTTTTTTTAAAAATATCAGTTAAAAAAACACAATTGAGTCATAGTCATATTCCAACTCTTTCATAATAATTATACATGTAATTGCTATCATGAATGTTACCACAAATAGATGTATGGTACATGTAATTGCACAGAAGTATACATGTACAACTATAGAAGAGTTGTCATTTCTTTTTGCCCTTAAGATTGTGAAGTATTCATTGTTTTTTTTAGCAACCGCAAAGGAAAGTTAATAATTCTGTATGATTGGACAATTAATGGGAAAATTGAGGGGAAAGCAAGTGATGCAAGTGAGTCAAGCAGTGGTACCGTAGAGATAAAGAACTTTTCATTTGAATCTGAACTGGAAGAAGCAGAGGTCAGTATTATTACCGGTGTCATTATAAGGCTTAGATTACTGAGGCTCTCTTCTTTTTCTCCCATTTAGATTAATGTAAAATTGCAGCCTATTACAAATGTGCTTAAAAAAGAACTTAGTGATCAAATCATTCTAAAATTAAAACAATACCTAGAATTGTTAAAAAAAGGTATGTATTTTTAAAAGATTTCTTACAAAATTAATACCTTTTAGATTTTGCTGATGGTCTTCAACTACCAACTGCCCATGGCACTAGCCAATCATCAAAAAAATCAACTGTCGAAGTGAAAAATGTGGAGCGTCAAGACAGTTCTAAGACATCTACCAGTGGAAGTTCAAGTACTTTTATTCATTTTATAATAGATAGTATTTTGAAGTACCTGTAGGCTTGGGGCTTAAAATATCTACCAAGAGAGCTAAATTATCTGATTCATTTAAATGTGAAGCACATGAACTTTATAGAGTTTTTGTAACGGAAGAGGTAAGAGACACGCACATACATGAGGTTATTGTTTTGATATTGTTCAGATGATAAAAGCCTTTACAAGGTCTGATGCTAAAGTTGAGGGACATAAAGGTGGAAAGTTTGTGTTTATGAATGGCCAAATATCTGGTGAATATGTAGAGCTGGTATGTTAGTAATATAATTTTATGAATTAATATTATTGTTATTTTAGGACCCACCAGGTAAAATAGTAAAAAAGTGGCGTTCAAAGGATTGGCCTGAAGGCAAGTTATTGTTGTGTTATGTGTGTCTAACAGCAGCACAACCACTCATCCAGGTCATTATTCTGTGGTAACTATTGAATTGGTTCAAAAGGAAGATTGTACTGATTTGTCACTTGTACAAACTGGAATACCAAGTTCAGATCATGAAAGAATTAAAGACGGTTGGAAGAGGCTCATATTTGAACCAATCAAATCAACTTTTGGCTATGGTGCTAGGATCCTGTAATGATGTCCTTCATGATGCCTCTGCATGTTAACTTTGTTTTTTTTATAATAATGTGACAAAACCTTTAAAGAGCATGCTTCATTAATTTTTGTAAAATTAATAATTATTATTATTTATTTCTCTATAATTCTATTGTACTAGTATCAAGTGACGATAGTGTAATCATAACTGGCTTCATAATAAACTTCATAAAAACCTAATACCCTATTTTATAAATTCTGCTCTGTTTAAAACAATGCATAGTTTTCATAAATTTACAATATTCTAGAAATAAAAATCAGCATAAAAACAGCAAGTTTTAAGTGTACAATGTACAAAAATGCGTGCTTATAAACTGGCTATGTATAGTTATCTTCTGGAAAAGGTTGATAGCTAGTACCGGTAACATTAGACTGATCTGTTCCCAAGTTATAAGGAGGAAAGGAAGTATGGTCATCTTCTATGTTGCTGTTCCATGCATCACTTGATGGATCAAGCAATGGCTCATCATCATCTACTGGGCTAGTGGGAGGTTGGAAAGGACTCGGTTCCTCATCATCATCATACATTACTCCTCTCTTTTTAGATCTGCAGCATTTCAAGATAAAGCCTGCAAGTAGTACTAGGTGTGCTAGGGAAATGAGTAATAAGATGATTGCTAGTGTCCAGGCCATCATCTAAAAAAAGGAAGATTTAAAACAAAATTCTGAAATAATATTATGTTCACAAACCTCTGCAACATAAAGATTAGTAGAAAATGTAACCTCCTCACCCTTGCTATTAATAATAGATGGTCCTGTACAACTATGGGCACAAAACCTGACTACAAGCACAAGCGTACAATTCTTACTTTGTCACAGAGTTACTAATTGGATCAGGATAAGAATTCTTGACTGCATTGCACGTGTCATCATGACCCAACCTTATCATTACAGCCACAGTGATAGAGATAAGTGTAAAGAACGTGTAAGCAATTAAATCAATTAATGCCAGACAATTAAAGCTGTTAGAAAAGTAAAATTAATTGAAACACTATTATGATTGACTTACGTTGAAAAACCAAAAGACAAACTGCATGCAAGGCGACTGCAGAATCCACAGATATACACAGCTGCAAATATGCTAACTGCAGCCATGCTGTAAATGACAAAGTTGCAAACCCCTGATTCACCAAACTGAAAAGGCTGAGAATCTGTTGTCCTGGTATCATATGAAGCAAACAAAATGCAACGACTTGAGTCACCATTCTTGACTGAATTTTCTGTTAGCACGAAAACAGTCAGAGTGCATAACCCACCAACCATGACGATGAAATCTGCAATCATGAATATCAGGTTCACTATGGCTCCCAAAACATTTATTTTATTCTTTTTCTCTGGCAACCCAGGCAGTTCATGTGCCTCTGCCTGCATCGTTGGCTTTACTGAGTGGGAGCCTGGTTCAAACCCTTGTTGTTGCTCCAGGCTGCTTCCAAGATCCATCTTGGGTGGGGCTGCGTATCATGCAAAACTTACTTGCAATGAATATTTTGCGCATGCGCAGATCATTCTTTATCACGTGATCATGTTTACCGCGATTAGATTCCCGCGGTACTCACGTGGGAGGTACTGTATTGCACCATTACAAAATGGCGTGGAATGGTATCTTCAAAGAAGCTGCTACGACAGGAAAACGAGAGCTGACCGTAAAGAAGCAGGCTTTCAGCGACGAAGATGCAACTGCTATTGAAACCTGGAATGATGAGACGTTGTTTAAAGTGAGAGGCCTGAATCATCTTCGTTTAATGGGGTTCTCTAGTATGACAAGCTTCAGTCCACAAATATCTCAATTGAATTCTCTTTTGGAACTCATTCTAACTAATAATGGACTAGAGTCTCTACCAGAAGAAATAGGTTCATTAACACGTCTCCGACTATTAGATGCATCTCATAACCAGCTAAAGCTGCTCCCTCAATCTTTTTATAGTCTTTCTTCACTGCAGAAGCTCTTGCTTGCTCACAATCAATTGTGCAACGATTCATTTCCACCTCAATCTGCTGGTTCAGGCTCACCACCTTTTCCTAGTCTGCAGTACATTGATATGTCACACAACGAAATGGAGGAACTGCCAGAGTTTGTCTATCAGTCTGTGAGTGTTCTGGAATTGTTATCTCCTCATAATAAGATCCAGTCTCTCTTGAGTGACGTATCAAATTTATCAAATTTGAAAACACTTGATTTGACTCATAACTCGATCATATTTTTACCGGCAGAGTTATCGCAGTGTGCAAAACTGAGATTCATTTCTTTTGATGACAATCAAATACAGGACAGGAGGCTAGTTAAAATATTGAACCAGTTTGGAGAGACTAAACCAAAAGCTGTTCTCGACTACCTCACATCATCCAAGACAGGTAAAGGAGGAGGAGGGAAAGGGAAAAAGAAAAAGGGAGGAGCCTCAGTTGAAGATACTCCTAGCGAGATAGTCCATGCAAGATATATCATTAAGATAGTGAGACCAGAGCAGTATGTGATGATTAAATCAATGAATGCTGCTAGACAAGTCAGACCTTACCTTGTATGTGCTGTTATTAGAAACTTGGCACTGGATGAAGATGGAGCATTAAGAGCTTTCATTACATTGCAGGTACTAACATTGCCACTATAGTATTGACGAAACTTAAATTTTGCAATTTTTTAAAAATTTGCAAAGTTTTATATTTTTTAGCAGCCACTTGTCATTGAGCATATTCAGAGTAAATGAGTTGTTGGATTTACATTGATGGTTGCTCACTGCAACTGCTAATATTAATTCCCCCCAATATTTCCAGCTATGCAATAAAAGAACTATTTTTATCTCACATTGAAATAGTAGAGTAGTTAATCATGTTACACTGTACTTTATTGTCATTGTAGTATGAAAGTTGTTGAGAGAGAATTCTTGATTGATCACACAGTGGACACCTACATGCTCTTATGTTATGTAGATTATGTAGAAAGTTCGAGCTGATTCTGATCAAGATTGGATTTTTAATGAATTTTCAAGTTGCTTTAAAAGTACCCTGTAGTATAATAGTACAGAGTATTTTGTCAAAAATGTCTAAGAGAGAATTCTCCATTTTATAATTTTTCTGATACATATACATGTTCTTGTATTGTGTAGCAAGTTTGAGCTGATTCCAGTCAAAATTAAGAGTCCAGAAATAGTATTGGGCTAGGATAGAATTTCCAATTTTTATTACACGTCCGTAGCACTCTTCTATTTAGTTTTTAAATTTGCTTTAAAATATGCCTAAAATACATGCAGTAATAGCATCTAACTGTCATGCTATTACTTTATTCCAATTGATTAATGTAGTAGTAATAGTAAGAGTACATAATACCTTATTATTTACTCTTGGTAATAGCTACATGTGTGTCCAAAATAGTAAATAGTAACATATGAAATACAGAAACTGGCTTAATAATGAATGAGCTACTTGTATTTCAGCAATGATGCCTATTACACATTATGTTGTACATATGATAATGTAAGCTGTGTTGCCCCTCTTATTGCTGCTTTGGCTACATTTTGTGGCTTTCCTGATAAAACCGTCTTTGATTATTTTCTTTTCTTATTATTAGACTAAACTACATGAAACAGTTTGTAAGAAGAGACGTCTGGCTACTATAGCAACCCATTCACTCTCATCTCTGTCTCTACCTCTCTCATATCAATGTCGCTCTCCTGATAGGATCAAACTCCAACCACTTGACTGGGACAAAGAAGTAACTGTGAGACAATTCATTTCTCATTTGAAAAGCAACAAACCAGATAGAGCCAGAGAAGGCAGCAAGCCTTATAGTGTTGATGTATCAGCCGCTCATCTTAGCAAGTAATTTATGAACACATTATGAATACGACTACCCTCTACTGGGGAAAATATTTATGTCCATTATGCATAACTGTAATGATTTATGGTTAATGTAGTGAGTTGTATTGATTTGATGTGTACTGTGCTATAGCAGCCCATTCAGAATTCTCTTATAGATTATTGTAATTATCATTGTTGTGTTACTAGATTCCTTCCATTGGTTGATTCAAATCTAATGGTATACTTATCTGATAGCAGTGGAACTGTGTTCTCTCTACCTCCTCTAACTAATTCAGAACCTTCAAAAGTATATACTACTTATATGTGTGTATTAACTGATTTACTGAGATATCCTGTTAGATTACAGAGGCTACTAGAGATGTCCTTGTTGAAGTGACTTCGTCAACTTCACTAAGTGATGCCAAGCAGGCCATGAGTGCTTTATTGTTGGAAATGATTGATAATGGTTTGCATTCCGTATCAACAGATGTAGAGGTTAGTTAAAGTTTAACAGGATGTTTGTCATCCTGTGTGTGGGGAGACTATGAAAATAAACATGTGTGTAATGAAGGTGACCTTTTTCCCTGAAAGTGAAGCTTAGGAAGCAAAATGACATTTTGGAGAATCCAAGCAACCCAGCACCTTAATTTTGAGCTTTTACATGTACATGTATTTGACAGTTTTCAAACAGATGGCAGTATTTTCCCTAAGTGAGCTAAACAGCATGCTTCAAGAGCTGGCTTTTAGCATTTTTGGAGCAACTTTAAAATTTTGCAAAAGATTAATTTTGATTGGAATCGGCTCAACCTTTCTACACAACATAGGCACATGTATATGCGTCAGAAAATGCTAAAAGTGGAGATTTCTCTCTTTTTGATATTTGATTAAATTCAGCCAAAGACCCTCAGTGTCTTTGGCCCAATTTTGGAGCAATTTAAAGAATTTATTTAAATTGAGAACCAGCTCAAACTTTCTACACAACATAAGTACATGTATACCATATAGGGACTATATTTCATTAGAAATAAATTTCGCGAATTTCGTGTTTTCATTAAATTTGCAAAATTAAATTCCACAAAAGAAGTGTGGCACACTAGTAAAAATGGCTGCAGAAGGTAGGATTCACGAAAATTTCTACCAACAAATGGCAAATCTGGACAAATTTGCGAAATTTTATACCAACAAAATAAAACCCCTATACGGTATGTGTCAGAAAAAAATTTTTTTAATGAAGAGTTTTCTTCTAGTCATTTTTGGCAAAAATTTGGCCGATTACCCTGTACTATATAGTACAGGGACTTTGGTCTGTTTTTTAGCAACTTTAAAAAATTACAAAAAAAAACAATTTTGATTGGAATCAGCTCGAAGTTTCTAAACTACATAAGTACCTGTATGTGCATCAGAAAATGTAATAAAAGTTGAGATATTTTTCCTTTTCAATTTAGACAAAATTAGACCAAAGACCATGCCCAATTTTTGAGCAACTTAAAAATTCGCAAAAAAATGATTTTAATCAGAATTATCTTGATGTATCAGGAAAAATTACAAAAATTGGAGAAGTCTCTCTTTTTTAATTTTCAAGTGAATTTTGATGAATTTTTGGCCAAAGATGATAAGAAGCTAAGCACTATGCTTAAATCCTGTAGGAAGCCTAGCTTGCAGAGGGGCCTTCTGTATAGAAACTGTCAATAAAGTTCTAAATTAAAGCCATTTTTCCCTCCTGCAGGAAGCAGCTACTCCAAAAGGTCCCCCACAGTTGATTGTTGAACAAACTAAAGTGATCGATGAAGCTGATAAATTATTAGTCATGTATCCAGCTAGGCCTGATCTTATACTGGATAGTGCTACTAAGATTGATGTTATGAGACCAGTATAAGTGATTACATGATTATTATTCTCCTTAATAATTATAATAATTTTTTTGTTAATAATAATAATATTATTATAGAACTTGAAGTAATATTGTTGTGTTTATGATCTACACTAATGTATTTATTGAGCTAATAATTATATATATATATATATATTGTTATCATGGTATATTTATAGTCTAGATGGTGATGGTGTCCTTTTGGGTGATTATGGTCTAGATGGTGATGGTGTTCTCTTGGGTGAAGGAGTCCTTTTAGGTTTAGTGCTTCCTTTTGTTATTTGCACTATTTCTCCCATTCCTCTTGACTGCCCATCTCTGAATAAGAGCCTCCAACCAACTCTTAGAAACGCTGGATGTCTTTGAAACCTGAAGTGTATACGTCCTCTTTGGCTTTGTCTTAATGTTTCCTATAATTATTAATACAGGCATGTCAGAACACTCAATTACTGTATAGTCCATGTAGTGCTGGGGATTTTATACATTTATAATTACAAAGGTTTCATGATTTGCAGGCATGGTAGATTTGGACTAATTACCAAAATAAAACTCTGCCAATTTTTTACTATACAGGTGCATGTATATGCAGGGTTTCCCACAGGATTTCGGCACAATATTTAGCTTCATGTCAGTGGATTTTTTTACAAATTTTAAAAGTTGCTGCAAAATTTGACAAAACACCCTGTACTATTATTACAGGGTCTTTGGCCAAATTTATCATAAGCGCAAGGAGATTCTGCCACTTTTATTAATTTTCTGATGCATGTTGTGTAGAAAGTTGGAGCTGATTCTGATCAAAATTATATTTTGTACGAATTTTTGTCAGCTCACTTAGCATGTTTTGTAGGAAACCCTGATCCCTGTACATACAGTATAATGTACTGTATATTAAAAAATAAACATTATTTACGTACCTCCTCTGCTTCAACTTGTTCAACAGTGACAGTTTGCATCATTGCTGACACATACAGTGTTGTTTGGTAGCCCTTTTTAATCCCAGAGCCAGTGTGATGAATTAGGAACACATTAGCTACAAGCTTCCATGAACAAAGTGCATGAGCTCTAGATGTTTCACCAATATCAAGGACAACCATTCCCTAGAACAATAGACTGTAATGTACTTCCTTAAAATAGCATAAGATAATTCTCTCTAGCTATTTATAAAGTACAGTGTGATGGTACATGTACATGTATATAAGTACCTTTCTCATTAATGAACGGTCAATGCCATATAAGGCAAGTGTTGCTGCTTGTCCTGCTTTTATGAGTCGGCAAGGTGAACGATGACGATGAATTGACATAATTTTTGTTTTAAAGAAACTACAGTCTTCGGTAGGACCAACTTGTACCTCATCACCAGCTCTCATAGTCCCTCTATAGTATACAACATTATAATTACAGCTACATGTACAGTGTATAGTGTGTGTTTCATGTACCTTGTTAAAGTACCTCCAAGTACAACACCAACTTCTGGAACCGAATAAATCTCATCTACTTGAAACTCGGCCTCCTTACGCTCTAGCTCATCGCTCAATCGGTACTTTGGGACTGCATTAAAGAACCTTGTAAGTAATTCCAGGTTTTGTCCAGTGACATTTGAAATGAGAAATATTGGACAGATGCTGTGTAAAGAAATCATATTTAGTAGTAATTAAAGTATCATCTACTTTTGGTAGTTATCACTTACTTGCTTTCCTTGAAGTTATGAGCTGTGGAATAGACATCATTGTCAGTTGCTATTCTCCTTGGGACTCTATTGCAGCCAGGGTTCGTGAGGAGTGTCTCTAGTTTCTTCACAACTTGCTCTACCTTTTCTTTGCTACACAGATCAATCTTGCTCACTACAACAGCCATTGGGACCTTCAGGGCAACGCAGAAGCCAAGATGCTCACAAGTTGTGCCAACTGTTAACAACAAAATAATTGTAGGTAAAAAAAATAAAGGAAAGATATACTAGAAACATAGTGATCATTTCAACTAAAAAACAAAAACAAAAACAAAAAGTGGAGATGCCGGGATTTGAACCCGGGGCCTCTTACATGCGAAGCAAGCGCTCTACCACTGAGCTACATCCCCCCTATCTAAGCTCGAGTTGCTAGTAATGAATTTATACTATCACTGAGCTAGCATTCAGATTTGGATGAACATAAGTGTTGCTGTACATGTACAACCATTATAATAAAGTCTTACCCACTCCAGAATTAGCACCAACAACCAGTAGCACAAAATCAGGCCTACACGAGGACAATCCAAAGACAGTTGTTTTGAGGTACTTTTGATGACCAGCCAAATCAATCAATGTAATAAGCTTGGCAGATGCTTCACAAATGTCTTCAACATCACTGTGAGTACCATAATTGACCACCTATAGGATAGTACATAATGATATGAACATTACACATTAATGGATACATTTGTAGTTATAAAAGTATGCCAAGTTGGCCCTGGGATTATACATTCTATTTTAGCCAGAAATATATGATGTAAAGCTTCTTGATCTACTATTACAGTTGTGTAGCAGCAGCTGTAGCCCCAATTTTCAAGGAAAAAACACAATTACTGTACATGTATGCCACTTGGACCTATTATTATCATAATTATCAAAATTATTGTTCCCAACCCATTTAAAAATAATTTGTTGTGCACTTAGTCCACCAAAATTGGCACCCAATTTCATAACATTTCCTAGATGCCACTTTCCCTATGTGACTGATTCCAATAAAAAGTGATTGCCCAAAGACCATGTCTCATGTATTTAGCTTAGAATTTAGAATCAACTCAAACTATAGCAATTTTTGGAACATTGGCTATACATGTACATTGTATTAGTACATGGTCTTTGGCCAAAACTGTAATACAACTATTGATATAGTCATGTGTGACTTGTATGGGAATTCAAAAAATTCAATTCTGAAAGAGGCCCAGGCTGTCAAAATGCCGCAAATTTATACAATTTAAAACATAAAGTACTAATAATGGGTTCTTAGGAGGCTTTGACAGGTTTAAACACAAAGCAACGATAATAAAGTGCTAATGATAATCTTTGGAGGCTTTAGCAGGTTAACATTGTACAAGTATCAAAGTTTCATTACTTCTCCTAGAGGTGTGAATCCCATTATTTCAAGAGATATTGAAGAAGTATGTCCGGATTGTATTTCATGTAAGTGACGGAATAAATTAAGACGAGCTTTCCCTCTGCCATTGTCCAGTTCCCCTTGAGTCAATACACCTAATAGTGTACTCTTACCAGCTTCCATGTTACCAAGAACAGCCACACGAACATCAAGAAACTACAAATATTTAAACAAAATTGACAATTATAGAACATTCTACAAAGGAATACTAAGGATATGTAAAAACCTAATGTTTATTAAAATACAATATTCATAATCTACTCTTGGGATAAATAATAATACATGTGTTAATATTCATACGTCTATACATGTACATGTACATTGAAAAACAAACGTTACTCATTTAGAATACGATAATTATGTTTGTCATTTTAAAATCATTGACTTGTGATGGTAGTGACCCTTTTGGACGCATAAAGAACACACATGAAACTAGTCCAGTGTTGAGTTCATGCGTCCATCACTCTTATTCTATAAACAATGTTTCTGAGGAGAGTTGTACTGTACCTCATACTGTACCTGCTGATCATCTGGTACTTTTCTGACCATTACCTCAGCTACCCAGAGCTTCTCATCACTCTCAGGTGGAGATATTTCTCTTTTCCTCAAAACAGATCCGTTTGCTCCAAGTCTACATGTAATTTTAGATTTGTTTACATAGCGTAGTGATAAAATGGCGATTTACAATATCATATGCAAACTGTAAATAATGTACAATCATATGCAAGCTGTTCTCCTTACTTGTGAGCCATTCTCATTACAGTGTCTAATGACATCTGTAATTCCTTAGTATTGAGTCCTAATAATGAGCCATTGTCGGCCACGCCAATCTCGTAAATGGCCTCTCCTTGTCCTTCTTGTAGCCGCCACTTCATTTGGGTCACCAGGTGCTCGAAACGAGAGGCAGACGGGTTGATCAGCTTCAGCTTGTACTCAATGTTCCCTTCCTCAACCTGTATGATTGTACAAAAATACTTATTTACAGTGATTTGCGCTTACTTCAGGAGGAAGGCTGTCACTCTTCTTCTTTTCATCGCTCTCTTCAGAAAAGAGATCGACTAGAGGGTCCATGGCGAGCTACCAGAAGAAAAGACTAGCTACTTGATTATATTTTTGACAGCTACCTACAACTCTTTTTATTTACATTTAAATCCACGCCCCCTTTCTACCCATGAATATCATTATTCTAACTATGAATATTATTACAAGTCAATTGCACAATTTCACAACTAGATTGCTTATAGCTTAGCATGTTTGCATGGGAGGAGACAAAGTACTATGAAATTAGATCAGCTATTGAATCAGCATAATAATCAGGCAATTTATCACTAGATAAACCCTCCAGGTTACATTCCTTTGTATTCCCTGATAATACAAGCAAAGTTTTCAAGCCATGTCTCCGACCAAATAAGATATCAGTATTGAGCCTATAGTACAATTATTATTATAATCATTTTATTTTACGTGATATTATAACTTACGAGTCACCAATCATGAGTGTCTTATGTGGTTGCAAGTTAGTACTAATGATAATTATAATAATAACTATATAATACTATTATCAAGTACTTACTGTTTTACAATGCAGTCAAACATTGGAGTGTGTGGCTTCCCAACTATGATTGGATCTCTCTTTGCAGATGTTCTAACTGCAGACACCATACTTCCTGTACCTATTATGAGCTATAATTAAATAATTACTAATAAAACAGGACATTAATGCATGTACACAATTAGAGCTAATTAATTATGTAGTACAGGTAGACTAATCTTTAATAATGACCTGGAATGGCTATATGTCCATTAGAAGGTAGTACTGGGTCTTCGTTTGTTGCTATAAAGATACAGTCAGGGTTTTTGAGATACGTACAAGCTTGGATCATCTTCATGTAGCTAATATGACAGTCGTATGCTACCACTACAGCTCCAACCTATCATAAACTTGCAATTAATAATCATTTCTAAAACAATTTTAGTATTAATTTTTGATATGATAAGGATTTGGCCTTAGCATATTTTATCTTTGAAGATTCACTAAAATTAGTACACAAGATTAAAAAAAGACTTAAGACTCGGTGTCATTTGTAGTACTGTATAGCGGGTAATTTTGGAGGGGCTAAAATTTGGCGAATTGCTAAATTTTGGTGATTGGCGGATTTTTATTTTGGCAAATGGCTATCAAAACGCCAAATTTACCCGCTATATGGTATGTTATGTAGATCTAGTATTGTATTATTGTAACTTACATCTTTTTCAAAACTCATTTGTAACCAGTCATCAAGTGTACCAGTGAGAACATCAGGCTATAATGATAATAATAATAACAACTGGCACTAGCTCTTGATATGATAATGCTCACCCCAGGTCCAAAACATGTGCAACCTATGGCCTCAATTTCTTGTTTGGTACCCTCTACACCCATCAGGTATACTTTACCATCATAGCCTGCTGTGTGCTTTAAATACTGCCCAACTATGTATCCAGTAGGAAATATTTCAGACTATAGTGACAAGAAAATAAATAAATTACTGTGATAACCCAATGTATTTATTTTATGTCAAGCCCTTCAAAAAGGGTTTTCTTAAGAAAATCCCAAAAATTCTGTGCTAAGTCCCCAAAAAACCACTGCAGTAAACCCAATAATTTAACGACCTTTGTGTTTAACGGTTTTTGCAATGACGGGTATATTAATGTCCATTAATTTCAATGATTTTTTCAACTAAGGTAACCAATTGCACATTGACAATTATATTTACGGCCATTAACTTCAACAAAATTAGGACAATGAGTAATATTTAAATTAATGCATCAAATTAATCAATGATGTACAATTACAATTACCTTATTAACGTCAAATCCTAATTTCTGAAACTTTGCCATATATTCATCTCGCGACTTAGAACTATTATTTGTAACAAAGCAGAGTCTTTTACCCTTTAATTATACAAGTATAATAATTAAACGTACAATACATCATTATAATGTACCAGTGCACGCAAATGGCTGACAGCCTCTTTAGCTCCAGGGATTGCATCAGTATTGCCAAGCCAGAGTACACCTATAGGTCATCATAGCATATAAGAGAAGTGGTGGGAGGGGCAGTGCCCACAACACAAATAATGTAATACCATTGTCAAATGTCAAATTAAGTAGGTAACAAAACAAACACTTGAGCTAACCATCACAATCTAAAAGGACTGTCTCTACATCACTCAAGAGTTTCTTCCATGCAGGCCCGCCGCAGAGTCTCAGTGCAGACATGGCAGCTAGCCTAGGAGGGCACAAATGAGTGTTTTGCTAGCTTGATAGATATAATAATAGACAGGGTTAACCCCAGACCCTTGCGTCACTTCCTCATATGTAATTGGAATTCCAGGAAACCACAGTCAACTGAAAGTCATCCCGACTTTAGCCCACAGATAGAGAAGACAAGTTGTGTACGCTTTCCTCAGAGACAGCTCAGCTATTCCTGTTCGTGGTGCAATACTAGCCTTTTATCACTGAGTCATTATCTGAAATAGAGGACTGTATCTTTCTGGGCCTATGACAAGAGACAAATAGTACGAGGTAAGTGATAGGTCCGTGAGAGAAAGAGAGAAAGAATCGGAAAGAATCCTCTGTGAATTGCTTGGGGCGGAGAGTGTGGAACCGCGAAGTAGCTGGCGGTAGCACTCTTTCTCTTGTTGTGATAAGCTTACCGAGTAGTTTATCCTTGTTCAATCCCTGTTTCAAACATACAAAGGTCGTGTCTCTTTCTATTGGCTTTGATCAAAGGGAAGGTGGTACCAGCAGCTCTATTGCTACACGCCAATTACCGACAAGCGTCCTAAGTTTTGATTGCCTGTCTTGATAGTAGATATTTTGGCTGGTCAGTCTCCTTCCTACAACAACACAAAAACAAATTATAACCTTAACAGTGCTGTTTTTAAAACTTGAAAATACAAATAAGTATTTTTGTTAGCTATTAATTTTATTATTGTATTACGAGCATGATTGTATCTCTTGCTTTCTGATAGTTGTTCCTTTCCTGGGTTCAGTTGGTATTTCCCCTACAACTGCAACTAATTAGCAATGTCTGTTCTAAATTAGGTTGTATTAGACATTTTCAATGTGACACAATGAGCATGTACTTTTTGCTCGAAGAAAGTCTTGAATAGGCCAGACATCTTGTTAAAGTTGTTACTTTATTATGAGTGTTGGCAGGTGGTCGTATTATTTTTATGGTTTCAACGATCATTATACTACTCTCTCCCTCTCTTCATCTTTCACTGCACACGCGTACACACACGTGCACGCTTTTACTAATTATTACAATTATCATATAATTATTTTTCTTTTCTTTTCATTTCTTCCTCTCATCTCTCTCCTCCCACCCTCTCCCTTTCTCTTTCTCTTTGCAGTCAATCCTATAGATGGTGATGCAGTGTGGTGTTAAACGTAAACATAATTACCTTGACAGTGAACACCATAAATCTCTCCTAGAACTTTCCATTCATAAACTTCAGGAAGAACAAGCCAAATATGGTATTGAGCCACGCCTCCATCGTTTTGTGCTCATCAACAATGCCTTGAAGTCATTGCAAGTTTATCTATCTAAGCTAGAGGCGGACAACTTTTATTTCTTTGATTCGGATAGTCACGATTTCTTAGCCAACACGCTAAGTCATGGGATCCTCTCCTCGCCCGTGTCTCCTCCAACTCCAGTCAAAGTTAGTCGTTTTGATAGCAATCTCTTTTCATCTAGTAGTCCTCTTGTAAACTCTTCCTCATCATCCTCTCTCAGTGTCAATGAAACAGCTGATACTAGTGAATATGGTTTATCACCTCTCTCCCCTTATCCTGTTCCTGAACCTACTCGTAGCAAGGACTCAAGCCCTAAGGCCGGTAGCAAGCGTAAATCAGACTCACAATCAATATCCGCTGATACTGATGATACTGATGATGATGGGGAAGACCCCATTGGACCCTCTTCTAGTAAAAAGTTAAAAGCATCTAGTGTACGTCCTAGGTCTCTTTCTCTTGGTGAGGATTCCTTGCCGCTCTCATCTTCGCCTTCTCTCTCATCCTCTCCTTCCTCTAATAATTCAATATCAAGAACAGACGACCATATTTCATCTGATGACTCAATTTCCTCTTCTCTGTCTCCCATAGATTTCTCTAATGTTGATGTTTCTTTGTATGACTTTGATGCCAGAGCTGCACTAACGCTTCCACCAGTCGCCACGACACCGAGAAACCCCATCCCTTCATCACTATCCATATCATCATCTGCAACTGGTACATACATTGAGCCAGCAATAGACAACAGTCCACAAACAGAAGCTAGTGATAAGGGAAGTGTTGAGTGCAACAGTGAGATTAGTTCTTCGACTGGTACCACAACCGTCTTATCATCGTCTTCCGATGTTAGCGACTCATCATCACTTCTGGGCGTTTCTAACGAAACATCCGAAGTCGAAAACTTGGACGAGATTGATAGAATTGTAAGCCTCCTAATGACATGAAAGGGACTCTATATTACAACAAAGAATTGAAGCATCCTATAGTCATCATTTTATTTCTTCAGTCTAGTTTTGTCTCACTTGCTTGTTGTGGTCTGTCCCGTTAGTTCTTATGTATTTTAAATCACTTCCATTCAGCTACTATTCTCTTTTTTTAATCACAAAGTCTTCCCCTCAAGTGAGAGAATAACAAATATCTATCTATACTATCTATACTATACACAGGAAGCTTCATAATTACGATATAGCATATCATGCATTATTTCTGAATCTTTTTTCCTCTCTTTCTCTACCCACCTCATTCATTCATCCATTCACATTATGTCTTGCATTTTCCCCTTTCCCCACTTTTTGGCAAAGCTGTAATTTATTGTATAATTCATCCCAACCAATATTATTACTAATGAGAATTTATTGTCAAATTTATTATTATAATGGTTGTCAACCTTCTCTCTCTTTTTATGCAAAGTGTTTATAGTTTTTTCTTTTGTCCTTCCAGCCTCTGTTTAAAGTAAATTTAATTTGTGTATTATATAAATATTATTATTATGATATCATTTTATGTATATTGAAAAGACGTTAAATTTCAATTATTATTATTATTATTATTATTATAATTTATGTCAATCACTGTATAATAAGTTCTTTGAGTGATATCAATTAAAATCAATTTTATACATCAATTTCGATAATAATCATAAGTGATCCAGTCTTGTGTGTGCATATGCCAATTGATTAAGTGATGAATGTAATCACTTCAAACAATTCAGTTGCTTACGCAAACAGAATCACTATACTGCTGACAACAAACTTTCCAACTCGGAGCAAAGCAAAACAGCCAAAACAACATCATCATGAAACAGTATGACATCATGAGGTGGAGCGGCAATCATAAAACGCTGATACGAGCCTTGATGCTTTTGTCTGTATATTCCAAGACATAAGAGATCCTCTGCTGTCATGTGTACATACAATTCTTTGTATTGTAATCCACTGAATCTCCTATAATCAGCCGACTGCATTGATATTTGGATGATCTTTGTGTTGGATTGATTGAGAGATGGTAATGATGTCGACATATCTTGTTGTGGTGGTTTAAGATTAAGTAGTGATTCCAGGAGGCACATGATGTCTGGATTATAAAGTATAGCTGTAGTTATTGAATCAAATACAGAAGGCAGGAATGCTTGACCAAGGGCAAAAGCATCAGATAAATGTGGTGGCCAACCTGTGTGTAGTGATAAAGAAGAGTGTGAGACAAATATGCAGAGAAGAGCTAATGAGGACTTTGTGTTTACAGTTAAGTATGTGCTACTTGATGTTGCCCACACTACCCACAAGAATGCGTCAGCATAATAATAATAATCTACTTCTCAATGATGCTCTTTGAATATACACTACCCACACATACAAGACTGGTCTAACCCTCTCTCTCTCTCTCTCTCTCTTTTGCTTTCAATAATAATAATCTCAGACCACTCTTATATGATGAATTCATTTACATTAATTCTCATTCATTCTTGTTATCCCTTTTAACTCTGTGAATAAACAAACACACATTGGCTGGATGCCCATTAATCCTCACCTGATTGAGAGCTGCCATCCAGTAGGTGTATGCTACTATCGATTGCTAAGTCTGATATAATGGAGACCTTCTCTCCTAACTTGTGACGTAGTTTAAGTGCACACAGCACAACCTCATTATCTTCAATTCCATGTTCCTGACTATGCAAGGAAAGAGACATAATAATTATGCATGCCCTCTCAAATAGAAGCAACTGACCAGTTGTCTTGCTCGTTCACAGCTACTCCTGTTAACAGGATACAAACAGAACAGCTTTCAATTTGAGCTTCAGACAAAGTAGCAGAGTCCAAAGGATGACCCGGTACAAAGTATATGTGAGTCGTGTCCTCTAGTCCACTCCATTCCCTCTCAAAGTAATCTGGATTAGACACAACTACAATTGAATGCTCTGTGTCTCCTGCTTGTTGTAATGGACCAAATAAAGACATCAAACTGATTGACATTGAGTCAGAGCTGGCAAACACACATACAACAATATGATCATTTAATGACGTGGGTGGAGGGAAGTAGGGAGACTGGATTGGACATGTAGGAGGAGAAGTAATTTGACATAAATCATCATTAAAGGTATACGATTCATCAATGAATGAAAAAGTTTCATTCGTCTTGTCCTGTCCTTGAGGACTGTGACAGGAGCAAGGTGATAAATTCCTAGATCGGCCACTGTGACACTTGAAACAATAATAATGGACAACTTGTATATCAACCAAATGATTAGCAATAAAATAACCAATCGAACCTTGGTGAATGATCTTCTCTCCTTTACCAACTGATATCAGTGTTAGACCTAACTCCTCGTAACATATACGACCAACTTCAGCAGTTCTCATTCCAATGAATGACACTGACAGTACAACAGAGCAAATACCATTACAAGCACCAGTAGCATATAACTCTCTCCATATTGAATTATGCGACGATGCCAATTTCATGCCACTACTGGTGAGTCCAGTAGCAAAAAACAGATTGCATAATAAAGTAGAGAAACCCGGAGTGATGCACGTCTGAGCAAGTATCTTCAGCTTACACTCAAATAAACACAGTGGAACATCTCTACCTGGAACCCAGCCAGGTAAACATTTAAGAAGTTTCTTGCTGTCATTCATTAGTAGCTGAAGGATTATTGGGATGGAGGAGAGTGCGTTTTTAATAGAAGCAACTCTTAATAGATTAGCATTATCCTCTTTGATGGGATTAGAGCAATGACTATCAGCTAACACGATAACAGACTTGGCTATAGACAGGCCACATCTCATTAGATCATTGTAATTTAAAGCAGAACCTTGATAGTACTGAACACGTGTATAGTGTGACTTAAGAATAGAACTGAGGCCAGGAGTGGGAAATGAAGGATGAAGAAGGATGACACTAAATGTCGGTCTGCCTTGTTTGTCTGGATGAAGTAACTCTTTGAGGAAACAGCTAACGTTTTTCTCTGTGATGCTACCCACAACAATGACGAGACCTTCCTGTTTAATAAGGTTATTGTAGCTTTGACGAAACTTTGATGATTGATGAGTTCCCAATAAAATTTCCAGTAAAGTCGGCAATGAAAACATGTAAAGTACAAACCCAAGAACAATAATGAACATTGTAAACATTTGACCACAATCACTGCCTACAGTAACATCACCATAACCCACAGTAGTCATAGTGATCATAGTGAAGTATGTGCTAGACCAGAAGCTCATGCTGATGTCATCTCATCAGATACAGCATCCCACGGATCACCAGAATTCTCCAATAGCTGTATCATGCCGCTAGATGATAGCCATACTCCAATGAAACGACTTACTATCTTTGCAATCTTAACAATGTCTTCAGAATTAATAGTATCAGGTAGAGCCTTGAGGACTTTTGATGCCTCGAATAACCACAGAAACCTTAGAGCTCTGAGACCCAACCAGTCGTAGCCGCACAATAAAGAGATAAACGGATGAGAGAGAGTGAAAATATCAACGAGAGTGAGAAGAGATATCCACCGGATTATTCTATGCTTTGCTGTAATTAGTCTAGCAATAGAATTTATTATAAGATAGCATGAAGATAGAGTCTCTACTATCAAGTAAACTGGAGTGGAATCAGCAATGCTGCAATCATACAGGGGACGGGTTGAAGAGCGCCAGAGCATTATGCTGATATAGGTTGTATTGAAGACTAGGGTAAGAGTAAAGTGAACTTTCCCTGTCATACTCTGCGGGTCAAAGAGCAGATCAAAGAGAGGGACTATCTTTGAATTAGCTAGCATAGTCATTCTATTGAATTTGAAGGAAACAGAGGTCAGTGTCAGAATAAGAGAGAGTGAGAGGAGGCCAGTAGCAAACAAAACTGTATAGGTAACTGCGTATGGCCACCATCCTTGATTAGCTCTTATACTTAGACAAAAAGGAGAAGAAGAGTTTCCTTGCTCTTGCTCCTCCATGAGCCAAGCTAATGAATATTCATGAATTCATTGAATTCGCCCACGTGTCCCTCATAAGAAGGCAATAAAGCAATGAAAGTAGTAGGATTAATTAGGTGAGTTTAGTAGTGTATCAGTTCACAACTTGTATTTCATTTATTCTCATTATGCAGTGGAGGGAAGGACAGTATGTACAACCTCATGCAATGTGTAGCGTCGGGTCACTCCATTGTGGCACTTGCTCATTTAAAGCCACTTAGTGAAGGTATAATTATCATTAAATAGAATTATTTAAGCATTTTGACTCAGCCAGACTAGCTTTAGTAAGTTGCAATAATGAGACGCTAATGAGCATTTTGTGGACATTTTGCCAGTGTTGGTGCAATTTATAAAGGGTTAAAAAATATGTTGTTACAGTTGCTTATTGGGCAGTTTGTATTAATTGTCACATCAGCACTTGTTCATAATTATGTGCTAGGTATGTCATTAGAGGTTAGAGTAGCTTAGGATACATTCCTTTTATTTAACTATATACACTTTATAATACACAGACCAGACCTGGGGTCAATTACAATTGTAATTGTAATTGAAGGGTCAATTACAATTACAATTATGTAATTGTAATTGTAATTGAGCTTCAGCTTATGTAATTGAAGTTTCAAATATATTTGAGTTACCTAACTACAGAATGTACAGATGCACAAAGAAATGTTCTTTATGTACTTTGGTATCTTTGGGTGTTTTTGATACTGTAAAGTACCAAAATAACTTCTTTTTAACACACAGTGTAAGCACTGCAAAGTATGTTGCTACAATACATGTACATCAAATTGTAATTGTAATTGAAAATGTAATTGAAATTACACTATCATGGTATAATTGTAATTGTAATTGAGTCTTTTTTTACAAAAGAAGTGTAATTGAATGCGTAATTGTAATTGAATGCGTAATTGTAATTGAGCTTTTGTAATTGACCCCAGGTCTGACACAGACACATTACAGGAATCACTGTTTTAAACCCATCAATTGTAATTACTGTTGTCAAGAGGCAATATCATGCATACCAGTAATACTTATTATTATGGATACATTGTTTTGAGTTGAGATCCATGCTTAACTTAATTTATTGGGTAATTCCCAAAGAATTATCAAAATCTGGTGTTTGCATGTTAGAATAAATGAGGCATAGCCTTAATTGTACTAATCTATTATTATGCTGTTATTATGATTAGAGGAACAGGATAGTATGATGTATCAAAGTGTTGGATCAGAAGGTGTTGAATTACAAGCTAAAGCATTAGGAATCCCATTATATACTAGCCTGACACGTGGCAGGACAAAACAAACTAGTATGGAATATGAGAGAGAAGAAGGAGATGAAGTTGAAGACCTGATGGAACTGTTAACTAAAATTAAGGTATTATAACATGTATCTAGTAACTTATTCTATTTATTTTTCTATTGAAAGTCAGAAGTACGTATTGAAGGTGTTTCAGTTGGTGCCATTATGTCGGACTATCAGAGGATTCGTGTAGAAGATGTGTGAGCTTATAATTTGTCACTATCATCACTATTATTATTATCATTAATACTGTTATTCTTAATAGCAAATTCTGTTGTTAATACATTGCTTCCAATTTCAAGATGATAATGATTATAACTGTGGTCTATTTTTCTCATTAGTTGCAAGAGACTTCAACTGGTACCATTAGCTTATTTGTGGCATCGTGATCAATCTGTTCTTTTACAAGACATGATAAATGACAAACTTACAGCAGTTTTAATTAAGGTTGCTTCTATAGGTAAGTGTTGTTGCTTGTTTACCTACTGCTTGTTTGTTTATTTATTTTGTTATTGATATTTATTTTATTTATTTATTTATTCTTAGGGCTGAGTCAGAAAGATTTAGGGAAGACATTACAAGAGATGCAGCCACGACTACAAAGTCTGGTAATTATTAATAGTCAGTTTTGAACTGATTTCTTAACAGTATTTTAGTACTTAGGGTATGAGGGGTATTTTTTATAAATATAGAGCACTTTTAGTTGGGACAAATTAGCTAATAATGTGGCTTGAAGCTATATATCATATGTGCCGTTTATGCAGGGTTTCCCACAGGATTTTGGCATTGTGCCCATGCAACTTCTTGTCAAGTTGCTCAAAAATATGGTCAAAGACCCGGCACTATTCTCTATTTTTAAAGCTTTTTTCTGATGCATATAAATGTCCTTATTATGTTGTGTATCAACTTTGAGCTGATTCCAATCAAATTTGGATTTTTATGAATTTTAAGTTTGCTAAACCTGATCAAAATCTAGTTGCAGGCCGAATTTTGTGAAAATTGAAAAGGAGAGAATTCGTAATTTTTATATTTTTTCCTGTTACATATACATGTGCTTATGTTGCATAGACGTTTGAGCTGATTTGGATCAAAATTAGATTTACTTGTGAGACTTTTGACTATTAAATTAAACTCGTGGCATTTTCTGATAGATATTGGTGACATTATGATATCCATTTAATCGTACCAAAAGTTTTCATAGCATAACTGATTAACTGTGCATGTATTGAAATGCACATGTATTCTGCTATGGGGTGGAGTATACATGTACACCAAAAGAGCTTTCAATATCATCATATTAATTTATTTGTGATAGAATAAAGAGTATGGGATGAATGTGTGCGGCGAAGGAGGAGAATATGAGACATTCACTTTGGACTGTCCTCTCTTTCAAAAGAGCATCAAACTGTAAGCCAATGGAATGGCCAATGTAGACATTTAATGATTGATGCCACTTCCACATGTGTTAGAAATTGTTTTCAATTCTTACATATTATGGATGGTATACATTTAATTTGTTTAATTCTGGAATAATGGTTATCGTGTATTTATTTTAATGTAGGGTTGATTCTAAGGTTATTCTTCATTCTGATGATGCATTTGCTCCTGTAGCTTATCTTAAACTAACACAACTGTCATTGCAAGATAAAAATTCATAATAACAATAATAATAGCTTTGATAATGCTTTTTGTACAGTTCCTTATGTTCACTTTTAACATTTATTCATTATTCTGCTCGCAATTTTTTCACACTCCTAAAATTAATAATAATTATTACTATTGACAATAATAAAACAGTTAAAAAGTAACCTCAAAGGAAGAAGTCAAGTCGTTAAAAATATCGATGAAATAATAATACGATAAAAATTAATTTGTGGCACTTTTTAAGTCAGTAATCTCTAGTGTTGTGGGGCGTGTACCAGGCTGTGGACTTCTTTCAGATTTCAACTTCCTTTTACGAGCGAGTGGATTTTGTGCAGGATCTCCTAATACGAGACCATCTTTACTAGTCACTTGATAGTAGGCATGTAACGTGTGATTGATAGCAGTCCTTGTGGCTCCTAGGGACTTAAGACTGACTGTAGTGCAGAGGGGCGTGTCAGGGGCGGAGTCAGGCATTAGCCAGGGATGAACTGATAATGAATCAATGGTTAGTCTTTGACTCGTGTTGACTGTCAGTAGTCCTTTAATGAGGCTCTTGGCTGTGCTACTAACACTGGACCACTCATCACTATCAAATGATACACTCCCATGTTGAATGCAATCAACAATCTTCTCAGTCGGCCATGTCGGAGCATGGAAAGGAGCCTGTCCACTTAACAGAGTGTACTAGTATGAAAATAAGAAAGTGAATAAGTATTTTGTATTATTTTATTTTGGAGTGTTGAAAATCATTAATCATATGATGATATCAGAGACAGTACATGTACATGACTACATAAAAACTTTCTATTTTTGGCAATTGTATGAAACTACAAATAAAAATGCATCAATGATGATTGCCAATGATAACACAGTAAAGGATTGTGATAGCCAGATACGCACAAAAAACTAGCCAAATTTTGGCGCTGAAGCCAATTTTCCTACTAAACCAAATTAATGTACACAAATAAGAGCTAAGATATCAGTGACAATAATTAGAAGCAGGTCATAAATTAATTATGAATGTTGCACATGTGATGCATCATAGTCTTGTGTCGTGAGACTATGATGCATAGTGTATATGTGTACATGTGAGCTGAAAAGCATACTTGGCCTTAGTTATTCAAAGTTTGATCTTATCAGCTACACTGTAGCTCTGTTTCAGGAAAAATTATAAATTGAGAACTCTATCCCAGCTACATGTACATGTATCTTTGCTTGGCCAGATTTTGAAGCAACTTTAAAAAATCATAAAAAATCTAATTTTGATCCAAATCAGCTCAAAATTTCTACACAATATAAGTACATGTACTGTATCAGAAATAAAAATGACAAATTCTCTCCTAGGGTCTTTGGCATAATTTTGGAGTAACTGTTAACAAATCGTAAATTTGATTGGAATTGGCTCAAAGTGTCTACACAGCATAAGTATACCAGATATATGTATATGTCAGAAAAAATAATGAAGAATTTCCTCCCAGCTATTTTAAGTGAAATACCCTGTACACAAGGTCTTTCACCAGATTTTTGAGCAAATCTGACAAAAAGCACTATATCAAACTTCTGTGAGAAACAAAGTAAAATTAAGAAACATTAATGCTAATTTTTAACATAAATGTAACATTTAATTTTGATAATGTTTATTTCTGCTTAAAAATTGATGCTAGAATAAATGATTAAATTTTATAGATACAAGCCTAAGCTATACAATACATGTTGTACTACTGACCAGTATAACTCCAAGACTCCATATATCACATGATTCAGTGTATCCATTGCTGTGTGATATAACTTCAGGTGCACCATAGGGTAATGTATAACAGGGGGTAGTCAATACTTGGGGAGCTTCAGGCAATAAACGTGCAAATCCAAAATCAATGATCTTCAATACAGCAGTGTCATCATCTTCATTTGAAAATATGAGATTCTATTAAATATAAAATTTGAAAAATATTTAAGTGATTTAAATATGTAGAATGTAACTATAAATTAATCATGCACCATATGGTTGGTAATTTTCAAGGGTCAAATATTTTGCGTTTTCTCCAGAAGCTAATATTCATGGGTACAAATATTTGTGGCTGGCAGTTAGCAATTTTCTTTTTACTTGGATCTACAGCACTAGCTTCCAATACATGGCTTATAGTGGAATATGGAGTAATAGGCAAAGACTCTGGCTCCTCCACTGGCTTGGAAATAGTAGTTAGAGCTCTGAATGGCCCGTTAATTAGTTTTTCATGTGTGGGTGGTAGCTTCGTTGATAAAAATGAATCGCAAAATTAACAAAAATTAATACCACCACAAAAATTACCAACCATACGGCATTAAGTATCATGGTATTTTGAAGCACACTTATTGTTATTAAAAACTTTCAACATAATACAAGAACATGTTGTGCCTAAATTTTGGAGCAACTTTAAATTTGTAAAAATCAATATTATTTTGATTGGAATCAGCTCAAACTTTCTACATAATTGTATATGCATCAGAAAATCCAAGAATTCTTTCTTTAAAATTCTTAGCATAGCATGTACATGTAACAGGAATTTCAAAACATTTTTTCTGAGCCAATTAAAAAACAAAGCTAATTCTTAAACACAACATACAAAGGGCATAAAATATCACATTACAGTACATGTAGTTGTATTACAAGTACATACTTCAGGTTTAAGGTCTCTATGGACCACTCTCTTTGAGTGTATGAAATGAACAGCTGACACCAGCTGACGGAAAAGATGACTTGCTTGAGCTTCAGTGAAGCTGTTATTACTACGAATACGATCAAGTAATTCACCACCTCTGAGCCTCTCCATTATAATGTAGACATGAAGCTAAAGGAAAAAGAGAGAGAGAGAGAGAAGCATTATAATACTAACATACATGTATACTAATACTAATACTAACAGAGACTATATATAATACATTATAATTATAACATAATAATACTATGCATTATAATACTAACATATAAAGGGAGTCACACATACAATAAAATTAATACAGTACATTATAATACATAGATTTAGCCTCTCCATTATAAATGAAAAAGATACTACATACAAATGGAGCCTGTATACAATTGATAGAGTGCATACAATGTACATGTATATACATTTATATTAATAAGGAAAGAGAAATTGAATCATGTAAAGTATTATATGTCTTGTAAATTAAGTCATTCCAGGAAAATGTAAGTTCACAGAATGAGATTGCTCGCAAAGTGAAGTAACATCCTGTATGTAGTTATACCATGTGTATATATGTATAATGTACAATGTATGCAAATTGAAAGGATAAGACTAACAATCTATACCTGGTCTTGTAATACTTCATGCAAGCGAACAATATTAGGATGACCTTGACACAACTGCAATATGCTGATCTCTCTCATTGGATTGTGACGTTTGCTCACTATCTTCACAGCAAACTCCTGCTTGGTCTCCTTCTCAATGCACACGCGACACGTAGAGAAACTACCAGTCCCTAAGTTAGTGTTTGAGAGTTCATACTTCTGTAGGAAAGGTGAATCATGAAGGAGGAGAGGAGGGAGAGAAGAGAGAACTGTGTTTGATGTAAATAAGACTGGAGGACCAATGAATGAATAACCCTATAAAGTATAATATTTACAAATGATTAATTATAATATTTACTATGATACATGCACAATCAGCCATTGACACAGCATTATTACACTAAACGGCTACATACACCGTACATGTACATGTATGTACTAAATGTTTACTTTTACAATACAAATGACCAATTACATGTACTTGTATTTGTGTATATAGTGGCCACTAATATCCATAATTTAAAAAATTGAAGAAAAGGAAGCATGAAAGAATGAGAGAGAGAGAGAGTGAGGGAGGAGCAGGTTATAAGTTCTAGTCACAACTTACTCTGAACACTTGATTATGCTTTGAAATAGGGAGGGCAGGAGAGTCAACAGGGTCTTGATTAGTGAACTCATCAGCAAAATTCCCAACATCCATTTCATTACTGACGTAAGGTTTAAAGGGAGGCCTCACTTTCTTAGCCAGTACATCGTCCCAGTTAAGAGAGGAGAACCACCTGTGGCTCTTCACTTCATGGGCTCCATTAGCTCCCAATCTCTCATCTTTGTTCTTCCTCATTAGCCCAAACAACAGCTCCCGACATGATGGAGACAATTTATGAGGTATGGGTGGAGCCTCATACAATATCCGCCTATAAATGAAATCAATAATAAACTGCACAATGGTCTTTTTAATTCACTAACCGTGATATCTCTTTTTGAGAGTTGTCTTCCCCAGTTGGTGCAAAAGGTGATTCACATGTCAACAATTCGTGGAGTAACACACCAAGAGACCACCAGTCCACTAACAAGTTGTGGCCATCATCACCTCCTCTTATGATCTCAGGAGCCATGTATTCCACTGTACCACAATAAGAATGAGCTACCTTTAATGGGGGAAGGAGGGAGAGAGGAGGAAGGGAGGGAGGGAGAGAGAGGAGAGAGAGAGTGAGGGAGAGAGAGAGAGGAGGGAGGGAGGAAGGGGAGAGAGAGAGAGAGATCATGAGATAAACAGTGTAGAGATAAATGTTGATAAACAGAATCATAAAAGAGGAGCAAAGTATTACTGAGACAAGTTACAACAACATTATAATGTGTCTATGTGTACTTGATCTGGTTTCATTGTTTTCGAGAGTCCAAAATCCGTTAAAACAATATGTCCGTCTCTATCTAACAATATATTTTCTAGTTTGATGTCTCTGTACAATATATTAAGCTGTTAATGAAACAATGATAAGTTAATACTATACATAGATGAATACTAACTGAGTGCAAGTGTTCAAGGGCTAGTGTGATCTCAGCTCCATATAATCGTGACCCTGACTCAGAGAATGGACCGATTTGATGAAGATGAGTGAATAGTTCACCTCCACACAAATAATCTGAATAATGATGTAACAGTATAGTTTTAAATACATGACAGTAGTAATTCACAGTACATTATGCAGCGCGTCAGTAATACAAAAAACACAAGGATATAGTCAATATTGTTACATTTATTGACAATCATATTAACAAGCACATTTAAACTATTATTCATGGTAATTAGATCTATGCCTGTCCTTAAGCAATTATCATTAATTTTACTCAACTTTGTACTATTTGAAAAACTATACAAAAGAATGTTTCACACCTTATTTTGACAAATTAGCAAACACTTTAATCTCATATTACACCAAAGACCAATGGAATTTGGCATTTACATGTAAAATGTACTTCAATCAGTGTAGACTATAGTTATCAATCCATCCCATATCCCATATGGCCATTATCATGGACTCACCCATAACAAGATGGAGTTTTGTTTCAGTTTGAAAGGCATAATGAAGTGTTACAAGGAAAGGAAAGTCTCTAATGGCCTCCAGTACTGATCTCTCTGTCAGGGTATGCTCCATCACCTTCTTCTTACGGACAACAGAAGTCTTCTTAAGTACTTTCATGGCATACAACTGCTTCTGGTCAGCTCCCGTGACTTTTCTTACAAGGAACACTTTTCCATATCCTAGAGACAAGATAACAAGATAGTGACAAGTGATCCTTGACCAATTATATCATTATGATACCTCCTGTTCCAAGGACTGTCAATAATTCAAAATCTTCTGGCCCTATTGCAACACGGTGCTCTATAAGGAGTAAGAGGAATATCTCACAGTATAAAGGAAGCTAACCTCTGCAGTTGAATAGAAGGTCCTCTTCTTCTTCCGATGAATTACATACCCGCCTCTTCTTACTGCTTGGCTCTTCACCAGTCGCCATTGTAGTATTCCAAGGTGACGGACACACCTCCCACAGAATACCACTTCCCGCGGGAATTCCCGCCACTTCTTAAATCAGTGCATCATGCATTCATACCATACAATAATTATTTTGGTTGCATGAAGCTAATTATAGGCTGAAATGTAAAATGAAACAAATTCACTAGTAGATAGCACATCATATTCTGATGTTTTGATGTATGGTACTATTTTTTCTAAAGCACTTCCGGTCACAACTCAAAGATAACAAATGAAAAGCAATGCATCGTAATTCAGCACTTGCTTTTATTAATCATATATTTCACAACTAGTTCTTTGTCATAACTGTATGTAATGGTGTCATATCATTACATGTTCTTTTTGACACAGTTCTTTTTTGTTTTTGTTTTTTTCTTTTGTGGCGTTGTTTACTGATTACATTGTATACTTGAAGGAAACTATAAATCAGGAACCTATAGCTGTTAATTAACACTATCTAGCAGCATCCTCAACTGAAAATGCCATCCACCATGGCAATCAGGATATATAAATAGATGTTAGTTAGACCTAATTATTTTTAGTCTGGCCAAAATAGTTTCAGCTCAGCAACAGTTCTACCTGGCAGTAATATGGATATACATGGTCTAAATTATACTCTTGGTGAAGATGTTAATGGTCCTCTACTAGCAGCTGCACTTGCTGTAGAAATGATTGCTGCATTGATCGTTAATACTTTTGTTCTTGTTGCTACTTTTTCTCAATGCAAATCCTTAAAGTTGCCATCTACAATACTCTTTACTTCTCTGATTATGATACATTATGTAATGGCCCTCATATACATTCCATCTTGGCTCATATCAGCAGCATATGGAGAATGGATCTTTGGCAATACAATGCAAGTAAAAGAGGCAACCTGCAATTTTGCTGGATTTATACTGAACTATAACATAACTTTCATAAATGCTACACTAGCTGCTATATCTGTTGATCGTTGGTTATTCATTGTCAAGCCTATCTTTTACAAGCAATACATGAAAGCTAAGGTAGCTCTGATTGTCGTTGCTAGTACCTGGATAACGTCTACATTATTGAACGTACCACCATTCTTTGAAATGGGAAAATATGTTTTCTCCCCTTTTGGATCTTGCGAAGTGAAATTTGAAAATGAAGCTAGTTTTAGTTTTTTGCTTCTAGTAGTCTTTTTTACTGAAGCAAGCATTATCATAGTTTCATCAATTTGGACGTGTTGCTTCACAAGAAGATTCATCCGGGAACATGCTCAATTAGCAGATGAGAGTGCATACGTGTCAAAGAATAGAAGAATCATAGGAATATTTGGAGCAATGCTTGTTGCATATGGGGTATGCTATACTCCTGCTGTTATTGTTATCGTTACCAGTTTGTTTCATGATGTGCCGGCTTCATATATTGCTGCATCATTGGTTTTTCTCTTGACAGTCATTATTATTAATCCAATCATCCAGTCAATTTTTAGGCCTGATGTGAAGAAAGTGATTGTTAAATTATGTACAATATGTCGAAAGCATCAATATTCTCCCGAGGAGCCTCAGCCATAAAACAAAGATACTGACCTTTCAGCTTTTATTATGATACTATTTTGTGATTGATACTTTTGTCGCTGACTTAATATTGTATAATTAGTTCATATTGATTAATTTTAATTTGTTTATTTTTAGTGTAGTGCTGCAGTAGAATTGCCAATTATTCTTCAATTTCTATAGTACCATTACTTTCATTTTGCAATACTAAATAAGCAAACTTATCAAATGTATTTTACTCTGCATGCAGTTGGCCCTAACGCTTATTTCCTAAGACCTCCATGTAGGCGCTGTCAAGGTCACTCTGATTGTGTTTTAGCCAACTAATATATACTATTTTTTACACTGACAGCCAACAGTAAAAAATAGCTATTACACACAATCAGATAACTTTGTTACATAGTTATAGCAGTACTGATAGGCTTTAAAAAGTAGCTTAAAATTTGAAAATATAAGGCTGGTATAAGTTTGCTGTGTCAATGCATGTGTTGGTGCATGCATGAGCATGAGATCTAGTCAGACAGGCAAAAAATGTGTTTACACTTTACAGATAGAAGCTATAAATTGACAGTGACTTGTGAGTCTAAATCATAGTGATACTTTAATCAAATCGGCAAAACCACAAAAAAATTATGATCATGATGTCCTTTCTGAACCATAAGTTTTAGATTCTTATCTGAATCACGACTGATTTTCAATCAAGGCCCAACCTGATTATGGATTTTGGGCAGCCTGCTAGCCTGCACAAAAATCAGCCACAATCATGATGAATGATGATCAGCCACCAGCTCAGAGTAGAACTAATTATCTACAAGATCTACAATGGAATTTAGAATATGCAGCTCACGTGATTGTGGTGTAGCTGCGCTGCAGCGCAGCAACCATTTATAATGGTGAGCAAAGGCCAAGGCTTTTTAGTGATTACCACTTTAACAATTTTCTCAAACAGGAAGAGTATCAATTACAAGCTGTTGAAGAATCTCGATCTGATGAACCTGGAGCCGTTGTCGTCTCTGAACAATCACCAGTGGGCTTAACAATATCGCCTAGTAGTAGCTCTGTTCTTCCTGAGCTTGAAGGTACTTTCACTGGGTAGAATGTTTATGAATCATATTTACATGTTTACTTTAGCTGTTCATGGTATCATTGATGCTGTGACTTTGAAACGTATCATGAAAAAGAGGCCCAATGTTAAGATAATTCCACTTCTTATTTGCTTTGCTGGTTTGCCAGAGAGTGCCAAAAAGGAAGCACTTCAAGAGATATTCAAGACTCCAATCACTGCAGGGTTCTCATCTCATCATATCTTGGCTACTAATAGGTCTAACTATGAAATCGCTTGCGTATACTCAACCTCAATGCTGTACAACTTTGGTGTCCAATCTTGCCAATTTGCCAGAAGTTCCGAAGAAATTTTATACAAAGTTCCTACTGAACAGCCTTTGCGGATTTACAAAGATGCATTACTTAACAAGCACATGAAAGAACTATTGGCTCACTTACATCAATACAGCAGCCGGTTTTGTGACAAACAAAATTTGGACTTCGTTTTTACCATAACAAGAGGTGCAACTCTAATTAATATTTGGGACGTAACACTCAACACTAATGTCTTTTACTTTTTGAGAGCATTTAGTGGCCACTTGATAAATAGTCGTATGTGGCTTTTTGCTGATTTAGATAAAGTTTCAGATAACTCTAATAAAAAAGCAAACGAAAAAGAAGGAAAGCTTCAGATATGGCAGAAACCATTGGATTATCTCCTTCGCTGCATGCGACTTTGTAAAGGAGTTACTACTCATAAGCGACCGTGCACAGTATTTGCTTCACACAGCGGAGAGGATAGTGATAAAGAAATTGAAACCAAAATGAAAATATTTGAAGAAGATTTGCAACGAGTGGCCAGACAGTTAAATGTCACAGAATTCAAAGATCAAACCTTACCTTTCAACAAGAAAGTGCAAGGTAATTATTTCCTTCGGTTTTTAAAGAATTTTCTGGGTAATGTTTATAGAAGAACACATGTTCCAGTTACATGGTTATTTTTTCGCGGTGCTCTAGAACATAAGGAGGGCATGTTTATGAGGAAGGCTGAGTTACGTCAGCTTGCTGAGGAATGCGATATGAATGATGAGGATTTCAAAGAGTTTTGTGAACTATTCACATCATTTGGCAGCATCTTTGATCTTAGTCTTGTGGATGATACCAGCGATATTATTATTATCAAACCTAATGAATTTTTATCTAATCTCAATAAATCATTTGACAACCCTCCAGATTCTAAGGTGTACACTGAAAATGGCATCATCACCGAAACAACAGCTAGAGAAATGTTTGGGGCAAATCAAGGAGAGACATTTATGTCAGTTTTAGCATTAGTTGGCATGGTAGCAGTGGTACCAGGGGGAAAATATGCTCAAGATGAGACCCATGAAGTTTGTTATTACATGCCTTGTGCTCGAAAGCATAAGCAAGAGCGCTTCATAGACAAGGAGGCAGTCAGACTACTACGAAATAATAGACGTCCTATAAACTTTGTCAATTTTGAAGTTGCTTTTACTAATTGCATGTTGAAGCACAGTTTTGCACAACTTCAATCGTCAACTGATGAAAATCGTACCATTATAAAATGCACAGATAACAACAGCATAATAACAATGACCTTCAGAGGTGATGAAACTGAAATTAAAGTTATGCCTCCTTCAAAAAAGCACACCTTGTATGTTGTTCAGGCATTCAAAGAAATAGCAGAAATTATCGATAAAAAGAAGGGCCGTGGACGTTTCAGTTATGCTTTTGCTATTATGTGCTCAAAAAATGAAAAAGAGTATCACCGACTTCCACATGACGTCAAGTTGTGTGACGAATGTAAGTCAAAAGCAGAGTATAGTGACTGGATAGAAGCATTGACTGAGGTATTATTAAAACATTAAGCATTATGCAAATATTAACAAAATATTTTATAGGAACCAATACCTGAAAAGTTTAAATTTGTGACTGGTTAGTTTTTAATACCATTAACAAAAAATTGTTACTCTCATTATAGATATTGAATTTGATGATGTCATTTTTGTTACAAAAGAATTAGTAGCATGTTGTGACCAAGAAATGCTGACTGATTTATTCAAGAAATGCTTTGATGCTGACTACAAGGAGTCACTACCACCTTGGTTGAATGTCCTCAATCAACTAACTAACTGGATAACACAAGATTTATCAAATGTGCCAAACAGTTCAGCAACAAAGGCTGAGCTTGCAGCAAAACTGAATGAATGGAGCAGCACAAAAGATGGCAAAATCAAGGCACTGGTGAAAAGGTTGTGTGACTACAATATAGCTCCAATAATTATTAATGTGACCTAGATCTAGTCATTGCTGATGTGTTCTTTCATTTTTGCTAGTAAACTTTACCAATTGTAGTTTATATCTTTAGAATAGATTTAATTTATCCCCATGATCCAGGATTTCATGATGATACAAAGCCTTCATAAAAGGAGCTAGCTTCTCACACTTTGCGTCTTGTTTCTATTTTGTACTGGTTTGACATTTTAGTCTACTCCTCCCTAGCTCTCTATTGTTTGCAAAGGATTGTAGAGATTCTGAAAGTAGTGTCGTAGCAAAGGAGTACTTCCATGCCACTAATTCATTCTACATCATGATCATCTTATCATAGCAAAGTTAAAACTAAAGTGTTATCATAACAAAAATTCTAGTTGAAAACATTGCTAGGGATGGGTCACTGTAAATAAACTGAAGCTGATGTAGGGCACAGACAGACTGCATACACATTTTATTCTAGATTGGGGGTGTGGCTCAGGTGATCAAAAAGCAGGTCTGCAAAATGGATCATTATCTACTGCTGTTTTTGTTGCTGTTACTTGAATGCTGTCAGTTATTTTTTGTTATGCTAATAGAGTTAGCTTATTATCATTTGCAGTTCTTTGTGCCCCTACATCACGTTTCTATTCATTTGGAAGTTTTGATAGTGCTCTTACTCATAATGATGATATATCCATATCCTTAAGTTTTTCAAATTGTATTTTATGACCATAGTCATAGTACTGTCTTTATAAGTAGAATAAATACAAGTTATTATCTAAATCTATGGACAATAATTGTAGACAAGGTTGAGCTTATCTGTGCCTCTGTGGCTTGCAAGACTATACTGATTACCTTGTGCATAAAAAATAGAGAGATGGGTATAAAAACAGTAAAACAAAAAGAGAAATAAAAGAGTTCTATTTGTACCAGGGCTCCTGAAGTCACACACTCATACAAAAGTCAGATCGTGTGTGCGTTTCAAGTGCAACAACACATAGTTTAAACCACAATAGTAACATTAATTGCATAATCTATTATCAGTATAGTAACTACTCGTTGCAGTTGATTTTACACAGCTTCCCTACTTTAATACAGTTTAAATTACTTCTAATTTAAGGCCTTTTTACACTGGCAAAAGTAATGCGCATAAGTTGATGTGCATTAATACTAAAGGACGAGAGCCTATGGAGTCGTTTAAGCATA